TGCAAGAGCCTTTGTCGGTGCAGAACGTTTCATCGACATTGTGGATTTTGTCGGGGAGAAAACTTGCAAACATACAGCACTTCGGAGGACTGTAAACCAGGTCTAAACCAGGTCTAAGCAGCGTAGACTTCTGCATCGGTCCTTTCGCCCGCGGTTACCAAGGGTCTACACGGCCGCGTCTCTGGCGTTTCACCGCTGCTGATATCGCGGTGATTTTAGCGAATTTGTATGAAGAAAAACCCACCACTTCAATCCAGGTTAAAAAAACATTGTAACGCGCGTTACTCACATTTATACCGAGTAAAATATTACTATTTCTTCCCCTGTAATGCCTTACATTACTGCGTTACAGCAAAAAGCAATGCATTACTGTAAATCGTTACTTTCATAACGCGTTACTCCCAACACTGATAATAACCTATGCATTTGAACTAATTACTGAGATTAGTGAGTAGGCTTGATAAATATATGGCAAATTTTTGGAGTTGGGTTTAGCCGTGAGTTCGCTTTTCATATGTGACATGTGACGGTAGAATGAGAGACAGAAAAAAGGGGTGGAGTGGCGCGGTTCGCACTAAGGGACATTTTTGATTGACTGGGCAAAGATTGTGGAGCAGGAGGCAGCGTAATACTACGTCTGTTTTATTTAAGATGCCTACAGTCAGGGGGAAAGACAAAACATTGACTGTGACGCGCACAGCAGCGCGCATGAAGTGAGCACTTGTCACCGCGGCCGTTTTTCGTGGCCGTCCAAAAGGTTGGACTTATCTGTTCCTTTCACGGAAATGAAAAAAAATGCGTTATGAATTGACAACCCGTCGCTTTGTTTATCAACCAAATGAATAGTTATTATTACTGGGGGACTAGATTTGTGTCGCTTTATTTTCACTTGCCCGCTCGGGCAACTAGGCAGAGGAGAGTACTTGCCCGGACAAAAGTTTTAGTTGCCCCGGACCAGCGGACAACCGTTAATGTCAAGCCCAGATTAGTATATGTTGTTTCCCCCTTAAAATGTATTGAACTTTAGTGACAAAAATCAGGGCTTTGCACAGTTTTCATATCATTCTAAAACACTAAGAAAGAGCCACGTAAAGCCTGCCACACACTACAGGATTTTTCAATCGTAAATGATTTTTAAATGTGCAACAAAATGCACAGACCACAGGCACAAGAAGAATTGGATGAGATTTTAAAACTTCCAAGTGCAAAAACTGCAGCAAAGAGATTGCACACTATAAACTAAAAGTTGTGAGCTATCAAAGCTATAGCCCCACCTCACATCAACAGTTTCCTGTTTACAGTAAAGTGACTAACTTTGAGACTTTAAAATGTTCCAGATATCAGCGCATTTCACTTCTAATTTAGATGCAAGTAAAAACTGTGTTACTATTATTTGCAAAATGTGGTGCAATAGTTCAGATAAATGCTTTGCCCACACTATAGCTAATCTGCAGCAGCTTCACTTCGATTCTCTCTGTACAGACGTACACACGAGGACCTACTCTCACTTTTTTACTTTTTAAACAGTGCTTCAAACTAGATGTCATTATTTGTGGAGGACACATTCTACTGAATAATAATAATTTTTTCTGGTATGTCCTGCATTTGTATCTTGTGCCTCTGTGTCTGTTACTCTGTCTGCCCCTGATGCTCTATTTTATTGACTATTGCCATGGTGGAGTTTTGTGGTTATGATATAAGAGGAGCTCAGAGTAGCACCTCAAACATCAGGAGCACAGTGGATTAAAAATCTCTCACGAAGATCCAAAGTCGGGTCACGCCTCCCCGAAATTAGGGAGAAGCACATTAAGACCTAAGGCAGCACATTTTCCTGTAGTGTGTGGCTTCAGTCAGTACATGCTGCTTTGGAATGAAAGCTGACTGGCTAACTTTCTCTCATCAGACTTTGAAAATCTGATATGCCATCTTAAGAAAAATAAATAAATCTGTATTTCTCCAAACCAAATGCGGCATACTCCGATTTAACTACAAGAAGTACTAATGCAAGAGATATACAAGAGAGAACACAAAGTCCATTGTGTGATACAAGCCTTATGACAATACTGAAGTGGCTGTGCACCTTGATGCCTTTTGGGTCTGGGGCCTCGGTGTCGGCCCCTGGACAGGATTCCAGAGACTTGTGCAGATGGTCGATGGCCTTACATGTGGCATTCTTCACCGCCAGCAGCCGGTCCTCAGTCATCCGCCCCCCATAAAACACATGGGCTGGGGGCGGGTCTACACACAGGGAGAAGGGCACAACAGAAGGGAACAGTTAACATATGTTTTATTATCATGTTTAACAGATCTGTGGTTCACCAAATGAAAAGATACTGTCTGAAATTTCTATCAAACGGCATGATAGCTTTGGGTATAATCAGTCTTCTGGCCTCACCTCCAAGCATGTGTGCAGAGTTCTGTGACAGCTGCAGGCCCACGGAGCTCCCAGAGGTCTGAGGGCCCTGTGAGGTACCAGGCGGAGCAGGCAGGAGCACCGTTCCTCCAGGACGACTGAAGGGGTTCACTGGAGCTTTGGCTGTGATAGGGGCCCTGCAGGAGGGGCCAGTCTCAGCACCTGCAGATGCACAGGGAGAAGTTTGGGCCGCAAGTCAGAATGCTTCGAAAAGAACACACAGCGACCATCAACCCAAAAGCACACACAGTAGGTCAAATCCTCCAGCTAAGATGACCAAGTCTAGCTCAAGATCTGCAGATGGGTCCATGTTCACAGCCCACTGCTCCAATGGCATTGAAGGATGGGTCAAGAACAAATTTCCCTATGGGGACAATAAAGTGTATGTAGCTTCATGTGGGGCCGGGTCGCGGGGGCAGCAGCCTAAGCAGGGACTCCCAGACTTCCTTCACCCCAGACTTGTCCTCCAGCTCCTCCGGGGGGACCCCGAGGTGTTCCCAGTAAAGCCCAGAGACATAGTCCCTCATGAACACCTCCCGAGGGAGACGCCCAGGAGGCATCAGAGCAGATGCCCGAGCCACCTCAACTGGCTCCTCTCGACGTGGAGGAGCAGCGGCTCTACTCCGAGCTCCTCCCCTTTACAAACCAGAAGTCCGCCATCTTGTTTTTTTTTTTTTTTTTTAAAATAAACATATGCAAAAATTTTGAAAAATGGGAGGGTTAGGTTAAGAGTTAAGGTTAGGGTCAGGGCTACAGTTGGGGCTATGGTTAGGATTATGACTAGGGTTTAAGTTTAGGGTTATTAGGGTTAGTGCGGGGTGCGATATTTTGTGGGGCGCAGCGTTTGCAGGGCACGGCATTTGCAGGGCACAGCGTAGGCACACGTGAGGGCTGATCACTGCTGCTGGCGCCTATATTTGTATTATTATTATCATCATTAGATTATTACCACATGACATAACAAGGTGATGAGAGTGTTTTTGTGTGAGAGAAGAACTCAGCCTAAATATATGTATGTGTTTTAAACTTAGGTGAATGAAAGAAAACTCAACAACTCCAGCTATGTTTTTGATGAACAAACAATAGGTCAAACAAGGGATAATAGTTTAAACAAGGCTCTTATTACACTTGTGTGTGTGTGTTTGTGTATATAGTGTGTGAGAAGAGAGACTGTGGCACCTGTCTGAGAGGAGGTTGACAGGCTGAGTGCATCCAGAGCATCCTCCAGCTCCTTCACCTGGGTCTTTAAGCGGGCACCCTTATCTGGGAGGGCATCCAGGTTAACTGCACCCAGAGTGGCCTGAAACACACATGGAGCACATTACCCCTTAACAACTCAGGCTCAACCTGCAGTGCATACAACACATGCACCTGTATTAGGCCTGTCACGATAATTATATAAATTTAGCATTCAATATATGAAAACTGGAATAATACTACTTTGGGGCTCAGTATTTATCGTTCCATTCGCTTCCGCTTTATCCAGGGCCGGGTCGCGGAGGCAGCAGCCTAAGCAGGGACTCCCAGACTTCCCTTTCCACGCACACTCCCTCCAGCTCTTCCGGGGGGACCCCGAGGTGTTCCCAGGCCAGCCCAGAGACATAATTCCTCCAGCGTGTCCTGGGTCTTCCCCGGGGCCTCCTCCCGATGGGACATGAACACCTCCGGAGGGAGACGCCCAGGAGGCATCTGGAACAGCCACCTCAACTGGTACCTCTCGACGTGGAGGAGCAGTGGCTCTGCTCTGAGTTCCTCCCATGTGACTGAACTCCTCACTCTACCCCTAAGGAAGCACCCAGCCACCCTGCGGAGAAAACTCATTTCGGCCGCTTGTATCTGCAATCTTGTCCTTTGGTCATTAACCAAAGTTCATGACCATAGGTGAGGGGTTAGGACCCCCTCCGGCCCCTGACTGACTGATGATATTTATCATGTGTACATTTTTTGCAATAGTGGGGAGGCATTTTTATATAATATGATAAGATTTGAGCTATAACAGTACAATGAATAACTTCTGTCTAATTATCGGTTCTTTCTACCATTTTTTTGCACCTCAGGCCTTTTAATGATACAGCATATTTAAAAACTGGTTTACTGGAATTATCTTGCTTTGTATCTGTGGCAGAAGTATTTTCCATATTATCATTTATTGCAGTATTTCTTGGTAGTAATACATCCTGCTTCAAAATGTGCTATCATGGGAAGCCTAACCTGAACTAGGAGAGAAAAGAAAGAGTCAGATCATAGTACAGTCGATTCTGACCTTCTTCTGCTGGAGCTGAGAAGAGAGCATGTTCCTGAGGCCGTGGGGGTGATCTTGTGTAGGCTGTAGCTTGGAGGCCCTCTGGAAGCCTGGGAAAGTGGTGAGGGTCTTCTGAACAGCAGAGTAAGCAGGGGCTTTGGGAGCAGGAGGCTGCACACATAACAGGACCACCTCGTCGTCATCCTCCTCCTTGTCCTGCTCCTGCTCCGTGGAGACAAATGGGCCGCTCCCTTTGTCTGCAGGGCCTGAATCTGAAGCTGGCTCTCCCTGCCCATCTAGGGTCTGTTCTGTAGGTGTGGATCTGGTCTGGTCCTGGGTCTGCTCCTTAGCTGTGGCTCTGGTCTGTTCTGCCTGTTTTTTGTTGGAATCCTCTTTGAGGGTACATTTCTTTAGCTTCATGCCTGCTGGCAACACTCTCTGCTGGGATGTGTTGGATGGCCCCAGCTCTCCGTTCTCCTTGGCCTCTGAAAGCACAGTCTTGAGGTGGCTTCCCTCAGCACTGCTCTGGATCTTTCTCGACTCAGAGTTGCAGTCTGTTTTGGCTGGGGCTTTAAAGGGGTTGCGCACAGGGGGCATACAAGAGGGCTGCTGCTGGCTCTCTGCTAGAGGACTTCTTTTCTCTTTGCTGGGCTGTTTTTAGGAAAAAGAAAAAAGTTGCTTAGTTACTCATTTAATGAGGGTGTTAAAAGTCAAAGCTTCTCACCACCATAAGATCTGCAACTAAATCAGACTAATTAAAAGGTTCAGTAACAGATTTTTTGTCTTAAAAAAGTGAAAAAACAGAACTAGTACATTTTAAACACTTTGCAGTGGTCCAAAGTTATCATTCCATGACCTTATGGATTCTGAGCATCCAAACGTTTCACTGTAACAAGTCTTTATACGAACAAAGACGCTTCCTGATTCTCTGATAATGCTTTCTAATTAGATGCAGACAGTACACAGTGGAGTTATGTCCCTAGGAGCTGCTTATATAGTATATCTGTATTGAGGCAAGACACAAAGTATCTATCTATCTATTCAATACTATTTGCTGCTTTTAGGGTATGTTATCACTGTTTACTTACAGCGGTCCATGGCACATTTCCACACCATTTCTGTCCAGCTTTTTTACTCACAACACAGCGGTAGAACAATCTGAGGAGACACACCAGTGAGAGGAGGTTTCACACAAAAAGCATTTAGTGAATGAATGAATGAATGAATATTGCGTTTGCGGTTGATTCATACCTGTAGTTCTGCTGCTGCTGGCTGTAGGTCAGGGCCTGCAGCTCCACGGTGGACTCTTCATGTTGGAGGCAGTGGGATGGAGGCAGGCTGCAGGAAGAGGAGGTGGAAAAAAACTAAGAAATGATGTCACCCAAACGTTTCCATGAATGTACAGAGCGAACAGATCATAGATTGAACATTTTTATATGGAACAGACAGGGTGACAAGTTGAGCGCACACAGAAGCACACACCTGACCGCCTGACTGAAGTCACAGCCCTGCTTGTCCACGCACACATAGAAGCTTTTGCCTTTGTTCGGTCCTTCTCTGACACCCGTTTTCAGCATGCACACGGCTCCTGTGTGACAAGACCCAAACCGCACTTGCATTTAGAACGATCCGCAAATAACAGAGAACTGCCAACGCTAAAATACAACCTCTAAATGTCTTTGTAGAAAATTAGTTTACTCTACAGGCTTACCGTGACTTTTGCAAACCACTTTTTCCATTTCCCAAATAAAGTCGGCGTCAGTTGACTTCAGTGAATTAGAAGTATTTTTGCATTGACCAATCCACGCTGCCAGAGTGTAGTTCCGGTGGGAAGTTTCAATATAAAGAAAATAAAACATGAAACAAAAAGAGAAAACAGAGATTAGCAATTACAACACAATTGTAATACATGTCATGTCGTAAATAAATGTTTACTTTAATACCATATAAAATATACAGTCAAAAACAACAACATATCAGATCAATAGTTTATTTTACTTTACTTTACTCTTATTATGAAAAACCCGTTTGACACAGGCGTAATTTCTGAAGACACGGTTGAGAGTTTTAATCTTTAAAAATATACAGTTAGTACACATAAAAATAACAAAGCTTAGCAAGCTTAATAACGGCATTGATCATTTAAGTTACAAATAATAATAATAATAAAATTATATATGAGCGAATGTATGAGCGGATAACGAAAACTACAGTCCCCATAGTGCTTTGCGCTCGTGTCCACGGGTCTCGCGGGCTCGTCGTCGGTGATGGCGGCACGCCTCGAATGATTTGCTGATGTTTGGTTTGTGCGGACAACGGGACAGTCCTGAGGCAAAGCGAACTCTTTTCGGCGCAGGCTGAGGTAACTACACGCGAATGACGTGTTTCCCAATCACTGTTGTTGCGTTTGATTGTGTTTCAAGAACGTGAATTTGAGAAGGTGACTTCAGTGTGATTACTGTTTATGTCCCACAGAATCGTACTGTGTCTGACTCTGGCAGCTCTAGCTCTTTCCTTTAATCACCTCTGATTATTGAAAAAATGCCATTTGCTGCTGGTGGTTTGAGACCGGAGGAACATTTAAATTTTGGGGATCACCCTGATCTATTCTTAGAATGTCTTATTCTACAACATTATCTTGAAAAGAAAGGCTGATTTTGTTCTCTTCCTATGTATTCCTATGTGTATTATTATTAATACTATGTATTGGTGTATAAGTAGGCTACTACCTCAAAATGTGCTCTCATTATTGGGGCTTTTGATGACCGTGTTGGTCTCTGTCTGTGACAGGTGCTTCTGGCCTCCTTGTTGGTAGCTCTGGAGTCTCATTTATAACACTTAAAGCCAAATGGTGTAACGAGACAAAAATAAAAGCACTTTTTTTTTTTTTTAATTATGGATGTTTTAAGTGCACAGAAAATGTAGTATTAATATTTATCCTTACTGTGAGCAGGCTTGCATCTCCGCAAACCTGACCCTTATTTAGCCTGGAGGAGGTCCTCCTCCTGCTTGCTTCCATAAGACTTATCTATAGCTATGGAGAATGTTCCGAAGTATGGCTTTAACTTTCTATTTCCATGGAATCATGCAGCTCACTTTCCACCTCCAGAAAGTTACATCACATAACTTAAATGTGTAATTCTGACCAAAAGTGGATGCAGAGATAAGACATAAACTTCGTCTCTCAGAAGTTGCACACATCACTAGTTTCCAAGTAGTCTGTGAAAGCCCCGCAGGTTAGGCTCACATCTTACAGAATGGAGCGTACAATTCCAAGAGTGCTTTTTATAGATCCAAAAGTTAACTGGAAATTTATGTTCATGTTCGTACATGTTGTTCGTACCCATTGGTCGTACAAGTTTTATAAATGAAACCCTGGTCAGTTGTGGATTCAAGCACTTGTTCCAGGAGATTTTGACATGTTGACATCTAGGGACTTGACTATATATATTCTGGTCCTGCTGGATTCATTGGTCATTAACTCTTAACCTGCCCTCATAATCTGTGTGTTAATTCCAGGATTAGACGGGGGCAGGTGGTCATGTCATTCCCAGCACTGCGCTGTTCTCAAGCAGACTTGTGGGCTCGCTGGGTGCCTGGCAGCTCCAGAGCGGGGGCTCTTCCCGAGGGACCTGCCTGCTCAGCCTCCCCAGGGCCTGATGACTCCTTCTCTGGTCACTTTGCCCCTCTGCTGGCCTCAGCAGACAGCAGCTGTGTGGTCCCAGAGCCTCTGAGCTTCCACACTGACATGGAGCTAAAGCAGGCGGGACATGAGCAGCAGAGAGAGGCTACAGACGATGAGGAGGCAGCACAGCCCCACAATGTGCCCCTTGTGCTGAAGCTGGAGCAGGTACTACTCCCACACATTCACTGCTCAGAGGACCTACAGGGAGGACATTTAGTGTGCGTATACTTATTAGATACTTATTAGACACTTATTAGACACACCTTTCCCATACCAGTCCTAGTCCCTCTCCCTAGGCCCTCACACTCACCCGCCGTGAAATCCCCTTTAACGGTCCCTTCATCACCGTGTACAGCACTTTGCTTTCAGATGCACTTGACTTGTGTGATACTCACTTGAACAAATGAGGCACAACTGTCCGCCAATAATAATAGCTTTTCATGCTAAATATTATAAAGACACTGGATAATGTTCCAGATCATCATTGTTTCATTGTCTTACCAGAGTAAAAAATGTCAAATGTATGTATGCTTCAAAACTTTGAAACCCCAAATAAATGCACATTTCATCTCAGTAGCATTTTGTCTTTCATTTATAAATACTTAGATGGCCATACTAATCACTAAATTATGACCTTTACATTTCTACACAAACTTAAATAAATGTGTAACTAAACTTGTTTGATGCTGTTTCAGTGAGGCTGCTCTCCAGTGTTACACACACCTGTTTAGGGGCCACTTCCTCACGGTGAAGGGCCTTATCAGCCCCTCTTCCTCAGGGCTTGATCATTTCAGACAGCACTCCCCTTCATAGGAAGGTGCAAAGTGGAGTGCTAGGGCAAAGGGAAGAGACAAGGGACCCTATGACACAGCTCACGACTTACAGTATACCAGTAGTTCTGAATTACAAAGACTGACTACATGGGCCTTACAGATTTGTAAGACCAGGGCAAATAGAATATAGGGCATACAAAATATAAATATAGAGATTGTTACAAGAGGTGGGGTAAGGAATTATCTCATGTCCCATGCGATTTTGAAAAATAGCGTGATTTCGTGTATTCTGGTGAGTCTCTGATTGTAAATCTTAATAACAGCTCAATACCTCAGTTGCCTCAGTCGTTTATCAGCGCAGGGGACCATGTTTCTGCAGATTTCTAAACAGAATTGGGGAGTACCATAAAAGGCCATTTCCCCCAGTAAATAAACAATATAAGCCTCACAGAAAGTCATAAATATGAGGTTTAAAGTCATAATTATGAGTTTTCAAAGTTGACTCTGAACCTGCTTTGAAAAAACAGATTTCCTGGAGAAGCCATGTATAAACCCATTACACAGAAAAAAATTGTAGTTATTTTACTAATTCACTTCATACTGTATCTAAATGATTTGCTATGAGCCCATGTTTTCATCACTGAGTGACCCAACATTGCCCAGTGCCCAGCAAAGCTCATCAATTCCCGGCCAGGCACAAGAGACCAGGTGCACAATAGTGCGCTTCATTCCCTGTTTGGACCAAACCAGCTACCATGGACAAAGTAATATAGAAGACACTTCGCACGTACTCATTCATATGGGATTTGTGTAGATATCTCTCTTTTAACAACATTCACAAGTGAAGCAGCAAGTGGAGCTATATGGAGATGTCCTGAGCTCCTGGAGGATAGCCTCTCCAGGAAAATGGCCATGTACTTACATGACAAAGGCAAATTTGGAGTCGACTTTAAAATTCATACTTATGAATTTAAAACTAGTAATTAAGAGTTTTAAACTCGTAATTATGGTTGGAGAAAATAAGAGAGAAACAGGGTTGTCACGGAATGCCGTCTGGACCTGATCTGCCACGTGCAGGTGACATAAATATTGGAGGGGACTGTCCCCAGTCAAATCATCACCAGTCCTACATAAAGTTACGTCTATGCATAAGAGTGAGATGTACAGCTGTATGGACTCTGTTGTCACTGTTCTGGAGTGAGCTCTGCTATCAGAGCTGTGCATGAGACCTGTCCTCAGAGCTGAAGGTCTCTTCACGTCTCTTCTACCTGACATCAGTGCTCATGTCCTTTTATGTTGTTGTGTATTGTGTGCAGCTGAGGCAGTGGCAGGAGCACATGCAGCAGCAGCTCAGGGCTCAGCAGCTGCAGGAGCTGCTCCATCTGCAGCAGGAGCAGCACAGACTCCTGGCCCTGATGAGCTCCCCATCCCACCACTCAGGTACTACACAGTCGCCCCATCCCACCACTCAGATACTACACAGTCACCTCACAATCACCCCACCCCAGGACCACACATGTCGCAGGACTCAAGTAAACATGCTTCTTTTGAGGAAGCCTCATGTTACAGGAGACACTCCTGAGCAAACTAACCTTTTATGTGCATGTTTAGAGGATGTGGAGGAGCTGTCAGGAGCAGACTGGGAAGAGGCCACACTTCACAGCAGGACTGAGTGTCATCTCCACAACATGGAAGGGCAGGGGCCCCGGAGCCAAAGAAGTCCACAGAGCCAGAGCCCACAGAGCCAGAGCCCACAGACACCCTTGAGATTTCCCAGCCCGTACCAGGAAGGTGAAGCCACTACAAGTCCTGCCTCACCTTTCCCTTCCCCATGATTCACTGTTGTACTGCGTGTACTGTTCAAATGAAGTGTCTAACACTGAAGCCATACCGAGAGGAAGTGATCTTTTACTTTTATTGTTTGTTGTGCTCCTCCTCAGAAGAGCAGCCGCTGACCCAGGGCAGTGGCTCCAGGCTCTCATCCCAGCACCAAGAGCCTGAAGACAGCAGCACGCACTGGCACACACCTGCTGCAGACAGGTACTCTCTGTCCACACTCTGATTTACTGAGTGAAAATGACAGCTGTATACTAACTACCATGTCAAAAGGAAAATGTAATACTGTGTCAACTGGACAAAAGTTTTTTGAGTAAAGATGTTTTGCAGATCATCCAAGCTGCTTCTTCAGTTTCAGTCAGATCCTGCCTTATATCTTCCTGAAGGGAAAAGCTAACTACACTGAAACTAACACACCTGTTTGTCTACACTGCAGTCTCTGTGTGTTAGCTAGGTTTATTGAACTACACCAAGGCCCTGTTTCAAGAAGCAGGTTTAGTCCAAACTCTGAAAAGGTCATCTCAGAGTTTTCAGTTTCATAAAGAAAGTTAACCTAAACCGTGAGTCAGTCACCATGGTAACTCACTCTGAGCATAACCTGGTCCAAAGCAGGTTTTATTCCTCTACCCCAAATTTAACCAGAGTCTGCTCCTGAAGGAGACTTCTGAATGGTCAATCACAGATGAACCAGGTGCACTTAATAGGTACTATTCACGCTTACGGCACAAAACCAGAAGGCGTTTGGAAGCATTTGGACTTTGGAAGTACAGACTTCTGGCGGGCTCTGTTGGCACTAGTAAATCTGAGAAAATGGCCCGGTTTACTTAGATGCCACCCCCCATGCTGAATCCATGTTTTTACCACATGCCCAGTGCATGGCCCAGTGTCGGTAACTACCCCGGAAGTTGTCATCCGCATGTTTCCAAACGACTTCTGGTAAATGTCAGTAGAGCCTCTTAGGCTTGACAAGAGATAAATGATTTAGTGTATTCGTTCATACTTTAATTATTTGACTCAAACACTTCTTTAAAATGTGTTGCAAAGTGCAAATCTTTAGATTAATGGAACATACTTTATGCAATTTGATTTATGTACACTTTTTTCATTTACTCAGTGAGCTACATAATCCTCAGTCCTCAACATAATTTTCTATGCCAAATCTGAAATTAAATATTAAAATTGTAATTTAAACAATTTAATAATGGTTTTATCTGTTTTATGTAAGAAGGCTTCAACAAAATTCTGTAGGACTTTTGAGTAATCTGATTTGTACCTTCATACTAAAAGAGATCAAACTATGTGCTCCTCCACATTTCTTTTATATTAAATCTGACTAATCTATAGTCACATGACTTCCTGTTCCTCTAAAACAGAATCCTCCTCTGGTATACCGTTGCCACGGTGAATCCTCTTTTCTGGGATCCATTGACAAAGTCTTGTGTCCTCTGCTAAACTCAGGGTTTATTCTCTCTGAGTTTCTAACTCTGCTCTAAACCTGTTTAGTGAAACAGAAAACTCTGAGTTGTCTGTCCAGGGGAGATTAACCCTGAGTTAACTCTTAAACCCAGGGTTTATTGAACCTTCTTTGTGAAACAGGGATTAAGAGTGAAGCATGAATCATATTAGCATAATTGTTAAGGCCCTCACACCTGTTAGCATACTGGCTATCACTATTATTTTCCCTGATTTTGATTTAGGTCTGTGGATGAGAAGTTAAATAGGAGATAGATGACGTTTAAGCCCCCCATTCCTGTTTAAAGATGGATTAATGAACGAATGAATGAATCACGGGATTTATATAGCGCCACTCAAAGTCACTTTACGGTGCATTCTTCATTCACTCTACACTTTGTGATCGTGAGATGTTATTGTAGCCACAGTTGCCCTGGGGCAGACTGACAGAAGTGTGGCTGCCAATCAGCCCCTCCGGCCACAACCATCCAGCAGGTCCACAGGTCCTGGATCCAGTGACTCCAGCCTCACAGCGAACAGTCCCAGGTCAATTTGGGTCAACAAAAAAAACAACCTGCATAAACAGGGCAACATTAATACAATTTTCGCAAAGCACAAATTCAGATCTGGTTTAAATCATTTCGAACTACTTTTAACTGGATTACAGTAGCTTGTAGGTTGTTTTTTTTTTTTACACATTGCGAGGTATTCAACACGTGGCACTAGCAGTGCACATGGTAGTGTAACAACCCTTAAAATCTGTATATAAGTTCTGATTTGTACATAGTTATATATTTCTCCAGTTGTTTTTTTTTACACATTCTCTGAATCGTGTAAATAATAAGTGGTCATTGCATCATGTAGTTAAGTCAAGTTAGAAAACAAAATGAAGCTAGCATATCACCTTAGCACACTCACCGGAGAACAAGAACAAACAAAACCTGGACAAAACTTCCTCTCCAGAACTCTTTACAATTTGATGTATCTCTAAGAACCAAAAACAAGTTGTTATTTAACAATTTAAGCAATATTTTACCACATTTTTGCACAATAGAGCTTACATGTGCTGTCCATTTTCTTCACAAGATGGCGGTGCATTTGCAAAAGACCCTACAGTACCGTCTACTGGGCGCATATGACACTGCATAGTTAAATGAAATTTAAAGGAACACACTCCCAATTCAACAAACAAAACTTGGGTGGGTTACACCAAGTCAGGCTTTGATAAGCTGGTAAGCCATTGTCTTTCCTAACAAAAATAACCTTTAACTGCCCTCTCAAACCAGTTCTTTTCTCTGGCTAAGATCTGTGCCTCACTCTCCTCAAAGGAGTTGGTGATTTTGAGATGGAGATGGGCGGTGTACTGGGGCCCTGTACTGCTCTCACGCTGTGTTGGTGCACCCTCTCATGAAGAGGTTTTGTTTCTCCAATATAACACTCACTGCCATCTGCACTACACTGAATGGAGTAGACCACATTGCTTTGTTTGTGGCTCGGGGTTTTGTCCTTTGGGTGGGGCAGTTTCTGTCTTAAAGTGTTTGTAGGTTTCAAAAAGACTGGGATTTTATGTAGTCTGAAAATCCTCTGAAGCTTTTCAGACTCACACAGGAATAGTGACACCCTTTCTGCTAGGTTCTGATTCTCTGATTTTAGCTCTTTGTTCTTTGCTCCAGCTCTACTGTGGGAAGAGCTCAGAGTAGAGCTCCTGCTCCTCCGCATTTGTGCTGCAGTGGATGGTGTGAATCAAAAAGCAAGTATTGGTCAGTGTGTGTGGCCTTCTTAAAGACTTCTACCAGGAGTAACCTATCTTCTATAGTTACTGCACAATCTAAGAAGGGCAACATATTCTTCTCGTGTGAATTTGATGTTCGAATTTAAAGCATTAATATGTGCAATAAAGGATCCAGTTCAAGCCCTGAAGACTGTTGACTACAGATAAGAAATCTTAAAGAACAAAAACAGCCAATCCATCTTTGAACAGAAATTGAGGGTTTAGACATCTCCTTTTTATAACTTCATCCTCAGACTTAAATCAAACCCAAGAAAAAAAAATAGTGATAGTCTGTGTGCTCAGAGTTGTGAGAGCACCCATCAGGGGCCTAAACGATTCTGCTAATGTGACTCTGACACACTTCACACTTAGTGCAGTTTAATAGACTGAGCCAACAAACAGAAGGTGTGTTAGTTTCAGAGTAGTTTCAGTGTAGCTAGCTCCTCCCTTCAGGAACATATAAGGCAGTGTCCACCAGCATCTGACAGAACTGCTTGGATGATACTATGAGTGTACAGTATTTGTGGTGTTTGTTGTGTCAGGCCCATTAGACCTGGGACTGGTGCTCAGAGGACGTTTGAGGACCTGCTAGAGGAGCAGCTCAGACACGAGGAGAAGAGACTCAAGTCTGTGCACCCACCACAGGTCAAAAATTGTCCATCATCTCACTTGTCCCTAATTGTCTCTCCTGTCCCCCTCTCTCTCTCTTGTCCCCCACGTGCTTTCCTGTCCCCCATGAGCTCTCCTGTCCCCCACACTCTGGTCTGTACCTGTGCTCTGGTTTCTCAAACTGGGTTGTGACAACTTCAGTGTTTTTCTGTCTCGTGTAGAGTGATCCTGGAGGCTGTGCCCCCCAGGCCCTTCCTAAAAGAGCGTTTCTGAGGAGAGGAGAGGGGCTTTTGAGGTTCACTGGTCACAAAGCAGACATTTGCAAGAATAACAGACCACCAGCTCAGACTGAAGCCATCATCCGCAGCAGTTCAGAGCCTGTCTCTGTGCAGAGTGGACAGTCCAGCTATGGCCCCAAGCCTCTGCAGCGCAAAACAGCCACTGTCTCTCAGGAGCCCCGCCCCACCACCTCCCTGCTCCAGGACACCAAGGCTGCCCGCTTAAAGGGATTACAGAGCCAGCTGCAGCTCCACCAGCCTCCACCACAAACTGTTCAGAGGCAAACACAAGGACCAGCCAGCACCAGGCCCACAGAGTCTGCAGCCTGTGGGAGCTTAGCCAGTGAGGCCAGACCCCAGGCTGATAGCGCTCACCACAGGGCCGAAGCTTGGCCTACCGAACAGGGGCGAGGAAAGGGATTGACACAGGGGCTGGGACAAGGACAGGGGCTGGGACAAGAGCAGGAACAGGGAGGAGCCAGGAGCTCTCAGGAGCGTTCCTTCCAGGAACGGCTGCTGCGCTGGGAGAAGGTCCGGCAGGAGGAGAGTGTGGAGCTGGGAGAGTTTGAACTGCTGGAGCAGGCTGCAGAGGAGCTGTCCTTTTCCTCCAACTCCTCCTTCGTCCTCAAGGTCTGTCACCACATCTTCTCTTATCCACTATGTGTCCTACAAAGTCTAGATTCTTCTCCCACACAGGGCACAGAGCGGGGGCAGCAGTGAGAGGAGAAGCTCATACTGACCTGTCTGCATTTGACCCCTCCATACTCTAATCTGTCTGTATTTGATCTGTGTTGTGACCTGTCTTTTATTTAACCTGTCTGTGTTCTGACCTGTCTGTACCCATCCATGTTGTGACGTGTGCAGGTTCTTCAAATGGATCGGCAGAAGCAGCTCCCAGCCGAGGAGCTCCACCAGCGCCGCCTGTCCTCCACCCCAGTCAAATCTCCTCCACATCCAGTCTCCCGCCAGGGGCCCACTGAAGGGGGGCCACAGCAGAGTGCCAGGCAGGGACTGTGTGAGACGTCCTCGGACAGCTGGAAAAGACGAGACGACCCAGCAGAACAACAAGTGCCTTCAGGTCCATGTGTCTATGCTTTCCCCTGTCAGAGTAACCCTCCATATGACAAGCACACATACCAGGACCAGCACCACTCCCCGACCCCCGGTGAGGAGGCAAACAGTGACGGTGAGGACTGCACTGTGACAGAGCACCTGCCAGAGGAGCACCCGTCAGAGGAGCACTGCCAAGAGAAGGCAGAGGAGCAGACGAGCAGGGTGCTGTTTGATGACCATGACACTTGGAGCCAGCTCTCTGAGGACCACAGTTTGAGCACAGACAGCCCAGGTGAGGAAGGGCCTGATCAAAGCAGGCTTTAACGGGCCCTAATAATACTATTTTATGATCTATGATATAATGTAGTTTTCTCATCACAAACAGACCTGGAGTTGTGTTTTGTTTCATTCACATGTTTAACACACAAACCCTGCACATTTCAGTCCTTCTCTCAAACACTCCACTTTGCGATGTCATGTGGTAATACAGGAAGCTCTCCATTGTGTTTTTAAACATTCACCATCAGTAAAATCATCAGAATAATTTCATCTCTGGTATTTCTAATCTCTGTTAAACTAAAGGTAAAAGGAGCTGTTCACTTGAAAACTACTACTTCATGACATCACAAGGTGGAACAGAGAATTTCGAGCTTAGGAGAATGTAGACAGTGTTTTTAGACTGTATAAAAAAGTGGACTAAGTGAGCATGATGTCACCCACAGCATTCAGCTCCTCTCAAATGAATGTCACGTTGCCACAGTTACAGGAGCAAGTCTGGAGCCATATTTGGAAATCCAACCGCAAGTATCATAGCAACCACATGAGCCAATCATGATTGAGGTGGTTAAAGGAGCCCACCCTTCTCACCGGAAAGTGGGAAGGGGACTTACTTAGCGACGAAAGGCACTAGCTGTCACTCAAACCAGTTGCTAACGCTAGCGGGAGCAACCTCGGGGAATGAAGGTGTCTGATTGGCCCGTTATTTATGTTCATATTTTGACTTAAAGACAAAATAGAGAAATGAAAAGTTCAGGATCCTATGTTAATCCTGGGTTAATATGAACATTTAAGACCAAAGTACAGAGAGAGGAGCCACAAGATCCCAATGGAAGTCAATTGAAGCCAGAGTCAGAAGGAGCCGGAAGAGCCGCCTGGAGCACTTCCTATTTGGAAAGTGGTGACTAGCGCGTTAGCTATGTCCATTCATATATACAGTCTATGGGAGGTAACAACGTTATAACATGGCTTAAAGCTCATTTAACCTCCATGTCACTGCATCCCTTACTGTAGGTGTTTTTACAGCCCTGCTCTCTCCACAGGTGAACCGTCCTCTCCACCAGAGCACACTGTGGAGCAGGAGGCCCAACCCTCTCAACTCATGAGCAGGCTCTTTCCTGCACTCAAGACACACTCCCACAATGCTCCTGTGTGTGCTCCTCCCACAGCCAAGCCCCAGAGCGCTCCGACCATCACACACCGTGAGTCACTGTCCTTTCTGAGCTTTAACTGAAACTACAAACATTCAAGCCTGTCCTCTTAAAGAAAGCTCCAAAAAGTTTTGCATAATAGTCCCTGTATTCTGCAACTTTTTGGACTTTTTGGAGCTTTCTACCATGATTATAACATTGTTCCCAAGAACCTGCATGAAGAGGTTTTATTTGTCATCCATGCATGTTTGAGTAATCTAGCAATCTCTCCTAGAAATTATTCAAACCCTCCTTACAGTTGGTAGTATGAGCCTGTACAAGGCTACAAGCCTACACCACTGGGCCACACAGACTATGACGCACAGAGCTAAGTAGAGGACTACTTAGCTCTGTGCATCTAATTTCTGTGTAGAAACTACAGGTGCAAAGTATAATCTAGTCTTATGGTTACTCTTTAAAAGCTCTGGTAATCAAAGAAAGTTTTTTGATGATTGACAGTCAGCTCACATTCTGTTAATTTTACAGTAGAGGTGGAAGATATATTGAAAATGTATAATATGTATTATGTATGTGGTTTTAGAGATCTACAAAATGAGAATTCTGTGTATTTTGTCTACAACAGACTGCAAATAGGGCTGATTAAAAGTAGAAAAACATGCATCTTCATGTAATGTATCTTTAAACAAAGGTAGAAAATTATGTTTTTCATGCCACATTCACAGTCTCTTCACTTTCTGTGACTCAAACCTCAGTCAAGACCTTCACAAAACTAAATCTTGTGTGAATGTAGTGGTTGATGGAGCATGTGTTTGTGTGCAGCTCAGCAGGCCCAGTCCCTCCTGCTCAGGGAGAGGCTGGCAGAGCTGGAAGTGGAGATCCAACGCTTCAAAAAGGAGAACGCATCTCTCGCCAAACTTCGCAAGGACAACCTCAGAGTCCAGGAGGAGCTAAGGTAGATTTTACACTCTGTGTGGGACACTGTGTCTGGAGGGTCTGGCCCATTGGCTGTATATATAAATGGGCAGAGGTAACCTACTAGCTGCTGCGTTCCAGTGAGCATGGGCACTCATAATGATAATAATAATGATAATAATGATGATAATGATGATGATAATAATAATAATAATAATAATAATAATAATAATAATAATTATTATTATTATTATTATTATTATTATTATTATTATTATTATAATTATTATTATAATTATTATAATAATAATAATAATAACAATAATTATTATTATTATTATTATTATGCATCAGTTTTATATAGTGCTTTCTCTGACAGAAGTGAGGCTGCCAATCTGCACCATGGTATCACTCACACACACAAAAGTCTTCTGATTCTATCAACTCAAATTCTCTTTCTGGGGTCATTATTTGCGGAAGACAGTTTCTATGAATAATATGGATGAGATGCTGCACTTTAAATTTACCACTTTAGGAGAGGTGAGACTTCTCATTATTTTTCTCATTATTTTCACTATATCCCGAGTTTGTATTTTACGTCTCTGTGTCCGTTAGCAGTTACACAAACAATATCTTACACGTGTCATTAGGTTATGAAAACTATGAAAAAAATAGTGTGATTTAAACTGTGTCGAGTACGGTTGAACCCGGACACAGATATCTTAATGCCTATGGGCTCGGTTTGGATTTGATCAGTTCTATGCTGTCTCGGACAGAAAAAAACAGCCCTATCCACACTCTACTCTGATTGACTTGTTTTCCCGGTCGAGGCAATGACTTTCTATGGTCTGACCATAGCCCTCTGTGATGTGGCCCACAGGAGGGAACGCAGTGACTTTGAACAGATGATGGTACAGGAAAGAAGCCGCTTGGAGGAGTACAAACGAGAGGAGAGCCGTAAGCTGCAGAGGGAGCGCAGACTGTGGGAGAAGCACATGACCGCCGCAAGAGCTGCGCCCAACAAGAGTGAGCGCGATGAGATACAGGTCAGTCACCGCCGACTCACACAGCCAATACGCCTATGACGCATCCTGCGACGCATCCTGCGACGCATCCTGCGACGCATCCTGCGACGCATCCTGCGACGCATCCTGCGACGCATCCTGCGACGCATCCTGAGACACATTCTACGACACATGTACTGACAGAAGTAGTGTAAGTAGTGAAGCTAAAAACTGTAGTGGTTCTAGAAATATGGTACAAAAGTATTTCTCAAATGAGTAACTTAAAGAACATAACACCTGATTTATCATTTGAAAATAATGAGGCAATTTTACATACATTTTTGAGACTTAGAGTGAGTCATTTTACTGTAAAGGGGAAATGACTCGAGTTGCACTACAGTTCTGATGAGAGCTCACAACATTTGGCTTATAGTGTGCGGTCTCTTTGCTTCAGTCTTTGCGCTCAGAGGATTGTAAGTTTTGATCTGATTCTCCTCATGTCTATGGTGTCAGCTTTTTGCTGCACATTTTAAAATTGTTTATTGTGTGGTGGGTTTTAGAGTAGTGTTCACTTCAATAAATATATTACTCAAGTAGGAGTAAATGTATTCTGCTATAAAAGTACTGGTTAAAAGTTAGACTATTTAGCCTAACATGAGTAGAGTCCTGTGCTGAGACGATGTGTGATGTGTGTGTCTCAGGCTCTGAAGCAGCAGCTGAGCTCAGTCCAGGAGGAGCTGAGGAGGAAGGAGAGCCGTTGGGCCAACACCCACAGCAGACTGCGCCACCAGCTGGAGGCTCTGGGGCAGGACAACAGAGGCCTGCGAGATGAGGTCAGCCCATTCACACAGTGTCAGCTCACGAGGGCTGCACCGTATGACATCACAAGGTGGAATAACTGTTAAACTTAAGACTAAATATGCTGGATTTGTTCAGCATGTGTGAAAACAAATTACAACTCCAGGTAAGTTTGTGTAGAACTTTGAGCTGCGAGTTGACTCAGACAAATATTTAGAACTTATGTTCGGGCTCAGACTCGGACACATCAGCGCGGTAAGATTTGAAATGTAAAATTAAACACAGTTTAGACTATTATGTAGGTAGCCAATGGGCCTGTTTCTCTTGATGCAAAAGTTTGTTTTTGTGATAAAAAAAATAAATAAATACATAGAAAATATTAGGCTACCTTAACATCATTCCTCCTGTGCACGAGTTTTGTCTATCGCTCTGCCAGTGGAACGTGTCCAGCTATTTAGAGCATGGAAACCCAACCAAAGTCTGACGGCACCTCTCGGCACCCGACAGGCTCGTTTGGACTCGGACACAAATATCTTCGATCTTCGATTACTGCTCTGTCTGACGAGGGCTGGTCTCGGACAGAAAAAATCATCCTTCTCCACACTCTAATCCACATGTACCCACAAACTGACAAGCACACAGTCGCACACAGGAGTTCACAGGTCAGAGGTCACACTGTCTGTCTCCACACAGGTGAAGACTCTGGAGAAACTGCGCATCACAGCCTGGAAGAAGAACTCCATGGACAGTGACAAACCCTCTGCTGTCAAAGGAGTCAAGTTTGCTGTATGTTTACGTTCAGCACATGTTACACTTTAGCAGAGCTTCTACCCGAGTGTCTGTCACTGAATGAGACTAGAGAGGTGGTCCATGTGTGATGTGTGTTCTACCCTCTGCTCAGACTCCTCTAGACTCCAGCAGCACTAATCACAACAGCCCTCCTGCAGCGGCCACTAGATGGAGCCGCCGGGCATCTGCTCCAGGAGGCATGGTGGGGACAAAAGGTACATCAAGCCATAAGTCACTGGAAAGGGAAGGGTCTGAGTCAGTATATCATTACAGTTTGCAGTGGTAGCTTCTCAGCACTGAGCTTAAAGCAGACATATTGTGCTCTAGAGTTATAATCTTGGACCCCTGTGGATTATGTTGTCATTTGCACATTTTAAATCTCAATATTCATCTAAAACAACATAATAAAAGAAACAAGTCTGCTGACTTCTCCGTTAGAAAACCAGTGGGAGCTGATGTTGCCGTAAATGTCATCACAAAGCGCCGCATGCAACTTGAAGTGAATAAATGGTGACGGGAAATAATTATAACACAGTTAAAAGCTTTGAAAAGTCCATTTTGCAGAATAGGTCTGAATGTATTAAACACTACCGTACAACTAGAGGACTCCCTGTGTGTGTGTGTCTGATGTTTGAGGATTCAAGAGCAGTCTGAGGAGGCCGTCTCTAACAGTAACTACAGTGGAGGAAACTGGGCATGGAGATGAGAACCAGTCCAGCTGGAGTCCAGAGGAGGCTCACGCAGGCTCCTCCAGTGACACCCAGGCCGAAGTGAACCCAGCACAGGACTATGAGAGGAGGAAGCAGGAGCCACAAGAGGAGGTGCTGGGGCTCGACGGGAAGGTGAACTGTGTGTCATCAGAAGGAGTGGCCCTGGATCCTCTCCCTCACCCTGTCTGTGCCCTGTCAGGTGGAGCAGGTCCTGTCCAATGGTGCACGGCTCATAGTCTTCCCCAACGGCACCAAGAAGGAGGTCTCACCTGACGGACAGACAGTCAAAGTCACGTTCTTCAATGGAGACACCAAAGAACTGACAGCAGACCAAAGAGTGGTGAGCACACACACAGGCACCCCCCACCACCACCACCACCACACACACCATGTTATTCTCAGTACCATGAAGATATACAGTGGTGTTACAGTAGAAAAAAAGTGTACGCAAGTACGTAAGAGTAAAGTTACAAAACAGTTGTCCAAGAAAGTATTTGGAAAAACTTCTAATCAAGTGAGAGAGTAACTTGAGACATGCCATCTGATTTATAATTTGGAGTTAATGTAATTTCAAGGACAAAACATTAAACACAACAGAAAACAACAGATTTCAATCACATTTTATACAAAGACCACAAAATTTAGACAAACTAAATTATGATGGAGCGATGAAATACACACAAATCCTTTCATATTATCATGGATCAGGCTGATTTTTTTCTGTCCGAGACCAGCCCTCATTCTACAGAGCAGTGATTGAATCCAAGCCGAGCCCAATTAAAATCACACTATTTTCATAGGCCTAATAACACATGCAGGATATTGTTTGTGTGGCGGGATATAGCGAAAATAATGAGAAGACTTTAAATTTACCACTTTACAAGAGGTGAGTAATAAACTGCAGCTTCTCATCCACATTATCCATAGAAATTGTCCTCTGCAAATAATAATATCCACAATAATATCCAGTCCACAAAACTGTGCTGCTAATCCAGTTTGAGGCGTTTTTTTAAAATGAAAAAGGTGAGAGTAGTTACTGACGTGTCTGTTACATCCACACAGCACATGGATCGAGGTGAAGCTGTAGATCAGTGATAGTGACTCTACTTCCTGTGGACCTAATCTCCAATCTTTAATGCTTTAAAAATCCTGTATCTGAAGTTTTGCTCCACATGTCACAAATAATAATAACACAGTTTTGTCTTGTATCTAAACTAGAAGTGCAGAGATCTGATATTTGAACATTTAAGAGTCTCAAAGCGAATGGTTTTACTGGAGACAGGAAACAGCTGACACGATTGAGCTCTTAACTTTATATCCTGTGGTCTGCAGACAGATCCCACTGCAGCCATAAAGTTTCATCAGATTCTCCTCATGGTGTGCGCTTTTTGTTGCATGTTTAAAAATCATTCAAGACGGAGAAGTCCTGTAGTGTGTGGCGGCATTAAGTTTTTAATTTTACATTTCAAATGTCTTATTGCGCTGATGTGTCCGACCCGAGCCTGAACATAAGTTCTAACTATTTGTATGAGTTCGACCGAGCCCGTCGGGTTCTGGTCGGGCTTCCATGCTCTAGTTATTGTAAAGCTTTTGTATGGAGTAAGAAAGCTGTCAAAAATATTTGTGCGCATAAAATAGAAATCCGTGCATATTTGGCTGTACTTGCGCATAAAATAAATATTTGTAAACTCTCAAATGAGTCCAGGCTACAGCCACAGCGAGCATCAGTCAGTCTTCACTTCAGCTGCATTTCAGACAATGGGTTATACGTGAGTTATAATGGGTCATAATTAGCAAATCCATCCACGTCACGGTGACGTTATACTTACCGGTAAATACTGTAAACATACCAAGGTGTTGCCTGTAAACACGAACATTAACTGATGCTGGAAGCTGCATTAAACTGTAATGTGTAACATTTCATTGGCTGTGATGTCTGTAACCAGGACAGTTTGGTAGTGTTTGGTGTAAACTGGGACATTTCAGCGTCCTGAGGAACTTTTGGTGGCATTTCATGCGAGAAATGCAGCTGAAGTGAAGACTGACTGATGCTCGCTGTGGCTGTAGCCGTGAATGTTTTAATCTAAACATACAGAGAACCTGATATTTGCTAATTAGCCCTGGGATAAGGTTACGTTGGATGTTGCCAACTGGCTCTACTATGTTTTCTAACATATAGGTGCAATTTCCCGTTCAGAGGAGGTGTTTCTACACAATATTATACAGCAGCGTTCGGTTCCCGAATTCAAGACATTTTTACAATAGATTTTAATGAACCCACTTGTTGGTCGCTGTTGTAGCTTCTTGTGCTATTACTCTGTTTTTACTCTGATACAAACTTGAGCTGCACAGTCTTGATCTTGATCGATGTTTCTTCTGCTCGAAGAATAATGTCTGTGAAGTGATGACATATTTTTGACAGTAAAGTTCCGTCTGTGAATTCATATTCGTACTGATGAAAGCGTAATCGTAAATTTTCATTTCGTGATTGTAATTCATGACGTCGTAATTTTTCAATTCGTCTTCTGATGGATAAATACACAATATATTTGATGTACGACTGGACTCATTTGAGAGTTTACAAATATTTATTTTATGCGCAACTACAGCCAAATATGCACGGATTTCCCAAATACTCACGGATTTCTATTTTACGCGCACGAATATTTTTGACAGCTTTCTTATTCCATACTTTTGCCACTTGTAGACTTACTCACAGTGGGGAGAGTAACCAAAATGTTTCCTCAAGAGCAATGTTACTTCCAACTAAATATTACTCAAGTAGGAGTAAAAGTATGTATGGAAGTACAATATAGTGAAAAATCTAAATTTACTTAACTAAAAGTGAAACTATATGATCAGAGGTGGGTAGGTCTCTTCAGAGCTAGTTACATTGACTCAAGTCTGCCTGCACTAGGCCATGGTGAGTAATGTTTGGTCCACTTTCCTCAGATCTACTTCTACGCAGAGGCCAAGACCACTCACATCACCTACCCTGACGGCATGGAGGTGCTGCTCTTCCCCAACAAGCAGACAGGTGAGACCTGCTCATGGGGCATCATCAGCGTCCATAAACATTCTGATTGATACAAAAGTTTTTCATTAGGTGAAACACAAAGGTGAAATAATGTTGCCCGTTGCCCTGGTCTGGTCCAAATTTGGGCTTGTGTGCATGAAACTCAGTTCACACTTTAGCAAAATTTGCAGATTTGTTCCTTCAAAAAGGTTAAACAGAGCACTATGTGTTCAACAGAGAAACATTTCCCTGATGGTCGCAAAGAGATCACATTTCCTGACCAGACGGTGAAAAACCTGTATCCAAATGGACGAGAGGAGAGTGTTCTGACTGATGGCACCGTCATCCAGATCCACCCGTAAGTCCTCCACCGCATACGTCCACCCGTCCACCCCCTAAGTCCTGTGTCCTTACATGTGTCTGTGTCTTCCTCTGAAAGACTAGTCTCTCTGTTATTAGAGTATCTTGTGTGTTCCAGAGATGGCAGTAAGGAGATCCACTTCAACACAGGGCAGAGGGAGGTGCACACAGCAGAGTACAAGCGCAGGGAGTACCCAGATGGCACGGTAAAAACGGTCTACAGCGACGGGCGCCAGGAGACCTGCTACCCCACAGGACGCCTCCGAGTCAAGGACAAAGACGGCAACATCATTCTAGACACACCCTAAACTTTCCATGTTCATTTGGGATGGATATCTTTATGTATTTGTCTCTCAAGTCTGGAAATCTAGTTCTACTTCATCTGAATTATTTCTATATTATAAGGTCCTATATTGTGCATTCCTCTGGCTTGTGCAGATTTACACGTTTGCTCCGTAGCCTTTGCAGTTTAAATAAGGCTTTCTGCGAGCATCACTGGCCTCATTCACATGCACACCAAAATTTGATCATCGGACTTCTGGACATTTAAGAGGATTTAAATGACACATAAACCTCAAAATGTGTTGGATGTGTGTAATCAGAGGGACCATGATCAGAAATCATCATTTTCACCTGATTATCAGATTCAGGGTGCATATGCAACACAGATTCATTTTCTTTGAATGAATTGATGTGGGTGCTGAATAAGTAGGAGTGTGGTCAGTGGAGAGTTCAGCTCATAGGGAGCTCATAGGGAGACTTTGTTTTTATGAGCAAACTCAGTTTAGCAGGATATAGGACCTAGCTCCTTGGTGCTTTTTCTGTTCCATTTTGTAAAAACTTGATACACATTTATTTCTCTATTTAAAATAAATTTGTAAGAAACACAGTAATTACGTTGTACCCAAAACCACTTTGCCAGCGGTGTTTGAAGAATTACCTGGCCCTGGTACACAAAGCTGTTGTTTTGTTTTTTTGAAAAACCTGAAATCAGCCAAACTCTGGATTGTGTTGGGAAGTGTCTGAGTGTCCTGAAAAGTGCTACATACATATACAAGTTTATTATAAAGTTAGTGTAATTAAACCCAGGGTTTATTCAACGTCCTTTGTGAAACATGGCCCAGGTAACACTGGATACATTTACATGTGCAGAAACAACAGGTAACCCAATTATTAGATTTGGGTGTGTTTCCCATTTACAGCACAAAATAAATCAGGTCATCATGTCAGATTTTAAGAGTCACTGTTGTATTTGAAAGACAAAGAACAATCATTTTAAAATATCTTTCAATCTTTCAGAACATTTTTGTCTTTGTGCAAAAAGGACAAACTAATTCACAATTTTCCTCCAAACCTACACTGGTGTGAACAATCAGAAATGAGATTACTCACACACACAGTCAGAGCGTAATTAATGCACTGTGAAATTCTGTAACTAATGTTTTATTTGAAGAGTTTTTATTTTCTTGGAAATGAAGTACTGAAACAACAAAACAGGACTGTGAGGTTCAGTCTGATCCAAACCTTTGGGGCCGAGATGAGACGACCGTGAACAGAAAACAGGCTGCAGTCACCACTGCATCTTCACGTCTCAAACACAAAAGAAGAAGGAAACATACTACACAGAGTACTTAAAGCTTAGTGATGCATGTTTCAACAACCAAGAATGATATAAACTAAAAAGTCCAAACTAAACCAAAGGTAAAGTGGTCACTCCAGTTCTGCCAACCCACTGCTGACCAGTGGTGTATAAACTGGCTGGCCATCCTCATTGTACAGGCTAACAGTGAGCTCCGGCTCCCGTGCCTGCAACACACCAAACACAACACTTAGACACTCAGCTCAGGCCAGTCACAGCCTTTCTGAGCCGTGTGCACTACATACCACCACAGTGGCTGTGATGTAGCCGTGCAGCAGGTCAATCATATCCATGGCTGCTTGGATACTCCACACAGGACTGTAGGGCAGCACGTCCTCCTGCCTGGTCACCGACGGAGCCCTGAAGCCTGTCACCTTCACCTTGAGCGTGTGGGCGGGGAACGCAAGGAGCTCAGACGGCATCTGACGCAGCCTGGACCAGCACAACACATAAAGACCACATGTTTATCCCTCACTTAAAATGTGTAACGTGCATAGCTTGACTAGTCTCATACAGGCCTGTTACGGTACATTTTAAAGTATGATATGTTGCTGTATAGAGAATAAACAACAATATTTAATTTTATGCCCAAAACTATTCTAAATGGACTACATTATTTTAAAAAAAAGAAATAGATAATAAATAGTAGAAAGAAACATTATAGTACAGGCGTCAGCAAACGTTTTGCCTTCTGATGCAATTTTTTGCTTTATTATAACACACACTGCAGTTTTTATATTGTACATTTAGTGGATCTCATTAATTCAAAATGTTATATGGTATAAATGTATGAAACAGCTCCAACTGGCTCTTCATGAAGTGGGGGTCTGAGATATTTAATCAGGGTTTATGTTCAACAAACCAAATGTAATCTTTTTAATGCTGCAATTCAGTATTTTTTATTCAGTATTTAAATTAATATATGTGGAAACAGATATTTAGGTGCATTGTGTATCTTGGTGGAGGGGCCATCAAACGCTGGTTTTCATGGAGATGTTAATGCTTTATCTGGAATGTTTTACAGTATGGCATTAAACCTTTTTATCTTCATGGAGACCAAACCAAACCAAGTTACAGGTCAGATCTGCTCACAGTCAGAATTCTCATTTTTCTAGATGTTTCTGAGCAATAAAACCACCTGTAATTTAATAAATGTAAGTTAGAGCTGTTTATTATCTTACTGTAGAACATTCCAGGCACAGCAATCACATCTCCATAGAAACAAGCAGGTGATAGACCCTCCACCAGAATGCATCAATGTGTGCAGCAGGACATAAGAGTTTTTTTTCTGACAGTTTTGCTGCCCATGCCCCTCAACATTCCTCCACCTGCTATAGTAGTTTGTTTGAATCTTTAGTGAGTCATGGAAGTTACTTATTCAACTCTCTACAGCTCAAATCTTATTGAAGTATAGAAAAAAACACACACAATGCAAAATGAAATCATCATAATTATTGAGCACCAAAAATATTGACCCAACTATTATTTATTGAATGACACCTTGATATAGTACTTATGGTGACAGACGAAGTCCCACAAGTGTCCTATTTGACAGGATACATTACTTGGTAGGGGGCAGTGTGTCATCTGAGCCATAGTCCACATGCTGCACCAAGAGGAGGAGGGGGTCCACACTGCTGATGTCCATGATCGCAGCTCTGTAGTATTTGCCATCACTGTACTCGACCAAACATGGACTCCCTGCACAGAACACAAACTGGAGCTGAGCTGCTACAACAGCAGGCTTCTGATGCACACTAAAGGGAAGTGACTGTGCAGTGTGCAGTGTGCAGAACAATACTGTACAAAAGGGATTTAGTTACACAATCCTGACTAACTACATGCAAATGGATTTGTACTGTAATCTGTTAAAACAACTTCATGTTTGTTATTGCATTTAAGCATCACAATAAGGTGCACTCACCACAAGAGCAGGATTTTTGACAGTCTTCTGAACATCCCTTTTCGAGGCACTGATTGTATTTACTTACAGTACACTGGTAGTGTAATACTGTGGGGTTAGGAGAGTAGTGACAGTGGTACTGTGGGGTTAGGAGAGTAGTGACAGTGGTACTGTGGGGTTAGGAGTGGTGACAGTGGTACTGTGGGGTTAGGAGAGTAGTGACAGTGGTACTGTGGGGTTAGGAGAGTAGTGACAGTGGTGTGGTTAGGAGAGTAGTGACAGTGGTACTGTGGGGTTAGGAGAGTAGTGACAGTGGTACTGTGGGGTTAGGAGAGTAGTGACAGTGGTACTGTGGGGTTAGGAGAGTAGTGACAGTGGTACTGTGGGGTTAGGAGAGTAGTGACAGTGGTACTGTGGGGTTAGGAGAGTAGTGAGTGGTCTAAGTGGTGTGGGGTTAGTACCTCTGGGGAAGCAGCTGAGCCGTGGGACCTTGTCAATGGCCGTGTTGACTCTGTTCAGAGCAGTGTCCAAAGTCTGTCCATTGATCTTAGTGTCCAGACCTTCCAGTGGCCACAGAAACAGCTACACATAAATTTACTCAAGTGAGACATTTCTTCAAACAAACCTTAACATTTGTAACAGTGAATTTAAACCAAGCTTCAATACTGTATGTTTATTTTGGAAAAGGATGTGGCTGCAGACCTCCACCCAGAGGACCCTCACTTAGCTTAACTCCATCCACATGTCTCTAAAAGTAAACATATGCCTATGCTATTTACACCCCTGTGTATGTAGGCCTATGCTGACACATTTTTTTAAATATTTTTTTTGGTCCATGATCAAGTTGATTCATTTCAAACTGAATTTGATTTAATGAACAATGGGTGTCATCACCTTCAATGAACTTTAATGACAATGAACTAAAGCAACAGCTGATGGAAAGTGTGACATTAAGCCATTTAAAAAGCAGCTGAGGGATTTGTGGGTGGAGGTGCAACCTGGTGGAGGCCTGTGGGGCCTGCAGCCAGTCTCTTGTTACAGTTATTACTCTCTTAATTTCTTTTAGCTGCTGTAAAAAGTGTGATTATGTGAATGATGGCCATTTTATTAGCAGTTAGAGCTGTTAGTGATAGTTATAGCTTTAGGGCAGTGAGCCTGACAGTTATTGGGGCAAAGACAATTTCAATTAAGTTGTTGAGTGTTGTGTGCATGTGAACGTAGTGTGTGTGATGTACCTCATTGGGTGTCCACAGGTGCTTTATTTTGACAGGGAAGTCCTCTCCTTCTGGGGGCAGCTCTGGGTAAATGAAAGACCCCAGCAACTGTTCCTCCTCCAGCAAACCCTTAAACACAACACCAGCCTCACACTTTGCATCTGAGCATGTCAAAGTGAACAGTAATACAATATACACAAGGCCATCTGAGGCTCTGGGGGGCCGATATAAGTAGAAACACAAGTCTACTCTCTTCTGTGTTATACCACTGTCAGATGGTAATATAGTTTTATAGTGCACACACTGACACGTACAGCACAGCTTTACCTCAATGTCAATGTCCCAGTCGTCGAGGAAGGCCGGCGCTGAGGGACCTGAGGCTGCCTGTGGAACACACAACTGTTAGACCTTTGTAAAGCCCTAGCAGAGACGTGCATGTAAAAGGCATGAGCACATATTGGAACTTATGAGGAGTAGAGGCACGCAGACACAGGACAATGAAGTGAATTATTTAAAATATTGCACATAGACATATGCTGGACTGACCATATTTTTAATAAGGCTAGAACATTTATGTTAAGTTTGTATCACATCTAAATGTTTGCTGTGTAACTTATAATAACAGAAATGTTCAAAATGTGCTGCAAAAGTACTACTTTTGATCATTTGGGCTACCCCTGCTTTTACACTCAATGTTTCTTCATCTGCTGCCCTTTTTTCTAGTTTACTCTAGAGTTTTAAGCTAAACTGGCCACAAGAACACAGGGGAGAAGTATTCACGGTTCACAATGGCAAAGCTGTATACACCTGTATTCTAAGATACAGATTTTATCATCTTGACTAAACCTATACAAGTATATGACCATAAAGCTTTTTTGATCTCAATCCACAGCTACAGCTTGTGTAATGTTGCACTGGCAGCTGACTACCCCATTCACACATACTGTCTAAATTACTCAAACACTACAGACATGAAGGCCCCTCCCATCCCACATATCACCCCACACATGTGACCTGGCGGGGCAGGGCCACGTGCTCCATGGAGCCGTGCTTGTTTTCACTCAGGATTGTGCTGAGGCTGAGCCCATCCACAAACACCTGTACAGTTAGAGGTCCTCGGGGTTTTGCAGGCAGCTCCTGACAACACACAATACACACTGTTTAGTATGGACTCAAACATGTACTAAGCAATGTAAGCTAAAGCTTTACCAAAACGTGCACATCCACGCAGCGGCTCATCAACAACTCTGAGAGAAGAGCCACAGCCTCTCTCTGCCAGTACCCCCCCACCTGCACACACCCAAAGGCAGGAGAAGTTAACAAGGCATCTACAGGCCATCTCAAAAATCTTCACTCTATGCATCATGAGGCTAAAGATAATATATGGGCTTGACTTTCTGAAATGAGTGATAAAAACTTATTCAATTTTTTTTAGATGGTCTGTAGATATGGGGTTTGTTAGTGGGACTTTTGGGACTTACTGGTGCAATACCGTGGAGCTGACAGGGCACACACAGCTGAGGCACATCCTCAAACAGCAGCCTGGGGTGAACATGCACCACAGGGATGCTCTCCACATGCCCATAGTCAATGTACTGAACCTGCAAAAAAACAGCATCATACCACTATCACACCAGTATAACACCAGAATAACAGCAGTATAACACCAGTATAACACCAGAATAACACCACTATCACACCAGTATAACACCAGAATAACAGCAGTATAACACCAGAATAACACCAGTATAACACCAGAATAACAGCAGTATAACACCAGTATAACACCAGTATAACACCAGAATAACAGCAGTATAACACCAGTATAACACCAGAATAACACCAGAATAACACCAGTATCACACCAGAATAACACCAGTATAACACCAGTATCACACCAGTATAACACCAGAATAACACCAGTATAACACCAGAATAACAGCAGTATAACACCAGTATAACACCAGAATAACACCACTATCACACCAGTATCACACCAGAATAACACCAGTATAACACCAGTATCACACCAGTATAACACCAGTATAACACCAGTATAACACCAGAATAACAGCAGTATAACACCAGTATAACACCAGTATAACACCAGAATAACACCAGTATAACACCAGCATCACACAGTATAACACCAGAATAACACCACTATCACACCAGAATAACACCAGAATAACACCAGTATAACACCAGCATCACACCAGTATAACACCAGCATCACACCAGTATAACACCAGTATAACACCAGTATAACACCAGTATAACACCAGAATCACACCAGTATAACACCAGTATAACACCACTATCACACCAGTATAACACCAGCATCACACCAGCATCACACCAGTAAAACACCAGCATCACACCAGTATAACACCAGTATAACACCAGTATAACACCAGTATAACACCAGCATCACACCAGTATAACACCAGCATCACACCAGTATAACACCAGAATAACACCAGTATAACACCAGTATAACAGCAGTACGGCTTTTGTTGTGCACCCAAATGCAATGTGGCCACATTTGGAAAGGCTCCTGGGTTGTGTTGTGTTGTTGTCTTGTACCTTGACGTGTCCTCCTAGTACCTCGAGCCGCTGCCCTCTGTACCAGAGCATGTCAGGACCATAGATGACACAGCCCTGCACGCTCTTCCACGTGTAGCTCTTGTGACATGGGTTAAACTTCATGCTCTGCTGGATTCTCTTCTTCAGCTGATCCAACTGTCGCTCTGCACACACAAGAGGCTTTCTAGCTCTGAACTTTTACATTGTGATTCTACAGCACTGTTTCCTGCAGCACTTTATAGTTAAGGTGGTCACTTTGACAACAAATGGCCCCCGCCTTGACGACGTCCCTGTGAACCACATAAATCCTCGCAAAACTAGGGCCCCCCCTCTCACTTCTTCTCCGTGGATGAAGACCCTCACTTTTTTTGGCAGCACCGCTTTTCCTAACCAGTTTTCTGTGAGCAATACTGTACAGTGGTATATTTGAAATCATGCACCAGGCAGAGGAGTGCTAATTATATTGTTGATGGCCCTCAGGTCTCCTGCTGTATTGAGCCAAATAATAAACATGGAACTAAACACTAAATCCACCTGTTTTCACTACTAAACTGTGTATATCGTGTATATTGTGTAAATTATTTGAACTGTAGATAGCATTATCTACAGTTCAAATACATTTTTGGCAATTTAGTGCAAACTACAGTAGGTACATTTGCAATCCCTCCTTCCACTCATTCTCTCTTTTAGTCCTTCAGGTTCTGCCCAGTTTAGTAGCTCTAAGACTAAATAAAAAGATGTCATGGAGGGGGCAGTGCTGAGGGGTCATGTTGCTCACCTGCGTTTGGGGTGCGGGCATAAATGGTTCCATCTTCTCCGATGGCAGACACAGTCATGAGTAAGTGACCAGGGCAAGGCAGCTCAGGGGCAGGGTACAATGGAGTTTGAATCTACAAAAATAGTCAGTTATTAAATGTCCTACTAATGTCCTGTACTAAACCTGTCACCTCACATTTAGAATTTAGTTAGTTAGTTTAGTGCAGAGTGTAGTGTTAACCAGTTCATGTCTGAGTCATACAGCCATGTGTGTGCTGTCTTACCTTTTCTGTGGTCCCAAAGCAGCGTGGGGGTGATTTGGGCCATGGACAAGACAGGGAGCTGGCTGACGTAGCCGTAGTGTTGATGCTACTGGGAGCAGTGCTTTGATTCTCACAGTCTGGGACATCCGCTTCCTTTGGGCTCTCCACCACAGGACCAGCAGCACTGGAAAACAACAGCAGGAGAGGTGCAGGTAGCTTCTCTTAAATGTCCAAATGTTTTTAACTATAATCCTCAAAATTTAAAAGACTATCAATGTGAAATGTATATACTGATGATTAAGTATACTGTTTTCCACAACAGGTCAAGTGCTAATGTTAAAACAGCTCTCTCTGTTCTACTAAACACCATTAACAATCATCAGCATGCCTATCCAAACAATGTTCACATCATTGCAGGGGACTTTAATAAGGCAAATCTCAAAACTGTTTTGCCAAAATTCCACCAACATCTTAAATGCCCAACAAGAGGGGAGAACACTCTGGACCATGTATATTCTAACATCAAGCATGCAGAGCCATACCCCTCCCCCACCTGAGCCAGTCAGACCATCTCTCCCTGTTCCTCACCCCTGCATACACCCCCCTCCCCCCTCAGCAGAAAAAAACCCCAGAAAGTCTGTCCATTACCACCTGGCCAGACAACGCCCTCTCCCGACTGCAGGTCTGCTTTGAACAAACACAGTGGGAAGCCTTCCATCATGAAGACCTGGCTACATTCACAGATACAGTGCTGTCTTACATCCAGTTCTGTATTTGTATGGATTGGTATAACCAAAAACCATGGATGATGGTTTTGGGGCTGATAACAGAGGAGAATGAGGCGCCCTACAGAGATGAGGTCCTGAAACTCTGTGAGTGGTGTGCAACTAACAACTTGGCACTGAACATCACCAAGATGAACTCATCCTGGACTTTCGTAGGAACAGAGCCACCCCTGCCCCTGTGTGGAGCGAGTGGAGACCTTCAAATTCCTTGGGGGTTCACATCTCTGTGGATCTCTCCTGGTCAGTCAACACCTCACCACTGGTCAAAAAGACCCAGCAGCAGCTACACTTCCTGAGGTGCTCAGGAAGGAGCAACTAAACACGAGCTGCTGGTGACCTTCTATCGTTCCACCATTGGTCACCTGCTGACCTCTGCTGTGACAGTGTGACACTCTAGCTGCACAGAGGCTGACAGGAAGCATCTGCAGAGGGTGACCAACTGCACTTCCTTAACCACATTATACAACTCCCGCTGTCTCAGCAGAGCGAGGAAAATAATTAAAGACAATAGACACCCTGGATTCCACCTGTTCAACCTGTTGCCTTCTGGCAGGTGCTTCAGGTCAATTCCAGCGAGGACCAACCGACTCCAAGCTTTCACCACACTGAATGAGAACTGTTAATTTGTTTTATTTATTATTCATTCTTGCACTTTGACGGAGCAGCTCTGAATTTCATTATACTGCATAATGACAATAATTCTATACCTATTCTATACCTCTATTATAATTGCAATTGTTGTAATCATTTAGCTGTGTGTTTTCAGTTCTCTTAAAAAATGATGATCCTGGATATACTTTCTGTGTATCAGGCTCAAACTGGACTCACAGGGCTACACCTGCAGGGGGAGTTCATTCAAAAGCAACTATAAAAAGGACTAGATTTTTTATTTATAAAAATAAGTACTATAGTTATAATATAATCACTTACCCACCCCCTCAGATTTCAGGCAGAGCTAGCCTGGGCTTAAATGTTAGAAGCCTAAAATGGGTATGATCAAAGTCTGGGCAAATACCACAAATGCAAATGTAATGGTCTTAGATATAGATTTAAAAAATCTATATCTAATAAATCAATTGCTATTGAGGACTATAAAGTTTTTCAATCTGATCGGGCTTGGAAAGGGGGTGGTGTGACGATTTATGTAAAATCAAGATTTAGTTGCTCTGCAGTGATGTCAGTGTTAGTCCAAATAATAACTCCAGGTTTAGTTCAGGCAGATTTATTCAGTAAATACCATGTTCATGTGCACCATAACAACAGCGACTCCCTCTCATAACATCCGAGCATGTAAGAAGTGCAAAAGCAGCTCTAGAGTTCCCTAGCTGTGAGGCAGGTAAGGTAAACACAAAAACAAGAGCTAACAGTCAGTATCTAAAACTAAACAAATGGCACTGAAAATGAATATCTCAAAGGACTCTCAACTCAGTGCAGCCGGCTGTAAAAGGCCCCCTTCTGCCCTAAGGATGCTCTCCAATCTATTTCTGACATTGTACATGAAATAAATGTCTCAGAATTCATTCTAATGGGTGATATAAATTTGAACTGGCTCTAAGGAAACTCAGACAGTCTAAAAAATATGTGATACCTGAAACAACTCACAAATGGTCCAGATTAAATCCCGAAGCATACTTGACTTAATTTTAACCAATTCAACTCACAAATATACTTCATCTGATATTTATTGTAATGATGATGATGATCATAGTGTAATCTCCTGTGTAAGAATTATCAATAGCAAGTTATTGCTGTGGGTACAAGGTAATATCCATCTTAATTTAGGCATTTTAAGAATTTTGAACAAGCTTTTTTAAAAAGTGAATTAACTAGAGTCTCACTTATTCCTGATGTAGAATTGGGAGGGAATATTTTCATTCAATCTTTCATTCTATTATAAACAAACACTGAAATTTTGAATCAGCAGTAAAGACAATCTCTGGTTTTCAGAGAATCTCAAAGAGCAAATCCATTTAAGGAACAAATTATGGGCACACATCAGATCAAACAATTCACAGATTGATTGGGTACTGCTCTGTAAATCAATCAAAATTTTCTGTCAATTCCTTTACAGAAAAGCTAAACATCTGTTCAAGTTCTGGAAAACAGTTAAATCTGTGACTGGTGCACACCCATCTTCAACGCTTCCTGAACAAATTGTTGGTTCAGAAGAAATTAAGGATAAAATAAAGTCATGGTTAATTTGTTTAATGACAATTTTATTGTAGCTGGCTTTAAATTAAATGTAAATTTAAATTGGAATGTAAGGTGTCACTTGATAAATTCAAGAAAATTGTAAAGTTTGGGACAATGAGACCTCATTGTTAAATAAAGGTAAAAAAAAAAAAATAAATATATATATATATATATATATATATATATATATATATATATATATATATACACACACATAATTTTTATAATAAATAAATAAATAAATATATATTATTTATTTATTTATTTAATCAATCACTCACTTAGATGTAAGTCTTCTCTCTCGCAGGGCCAGGCCTTGGCTCACCAGAGAGTCTGCGATGCTCACAAAATGGCCCATGGTGTTAGAGCAGGACAGAGTGACTGGCACAGGATGCTCCTCACCCACCTCCTGTTTTAGTATCAACAGTATCACATTGGTGAGTCAGATATTATGTACAGCATGAGCATTTATTTCTCACAGTGTGGAGACTAACATCTGCACTCAAACTCACATTATGGCTCAGTCAAAAAAAATTGAACTGTGACCTGCCTATCCTCGAGGCTCATCACAAATGTAGACTTTTAAAGCGAGCCCTTCAGATCAAACATGACCCTCTGGCCTCCTGCAGAGACATGTTCAAGCTTCTTCCCTCCCTTCCTCCCTTCATTTAAATGCAAGACTTCTCGCCGCTAACAGCTTCTTTCCACAAACTGTTATAAGCTTGAACAATGCACTTTGAACTTTGATCTAGCACCTTAATATTTTAGCTCTGTAATCTTTGTAGCTTGTCTATTTCACGGTGTCATATGTAGTTTGTAATGATTGTCTATTGTAATGATTGTCTATTGTTTTTAATGTCTCATGGTGTACTTTAAGCTTTTTGCACAGTTTTTTTGTGTGGGTTTTACAAATGGCAAATAAACTAATCAAATAAACTAACCTAAACCTGCTTCTGTTATTGGGACAAAAATCAGGTCCCATGATGGAAATCATGTGTGTATGTGTAAGTGTGGTTCATGAACAGAACTCAAGGTGAGGCACACACACCTTTGCTGTCAGGATGGCTGAAGCTCCACTCAGATAGAATGAGATGAAGTCACAGGCAGTAGCTGTCCATCTGGACTGGCCTCCTGCCGGTCTGACCAACACAAAAATGAAGACAAGAGACGTTAGTTCCACAATCAAGAATAGCATCAAGTGTCACAGAAGCCTTGTTTCCACTGGACTGCAGTGCAGCAGGTTGGTACCGGCAGCAAGTTTTTCCACTGTCTTTAATAATAAAGACAAACCCACTCCACTACATAGACATGCTAAAAAGTGGTGCATAGAAATAAAATAAATGCAGCATGCAGTGTCACAAACTTGGAATTACTGAATGCTGAACACTGAACACTTTACTGAAAGTGTCCCTCCTCTGTGTCCTGCAGCATCACAGCAGAGTCCAGGGGAACCAGGTGAACAACAGGAAAGGCCTCATTCTTACTCCCCTCTGGTGTTTCATTTGGTGATGAAATAGTCCATTCCCTTCAAAATTTATTCTGGAAGATCTTCTACCACATATGTTGTAAAAAAGCCTGTAGCATCTCAAAGGCCCATAGCTAGCTCCTTAGCTAGCCTCTTGCACAGTCTCCATGGATAGGAGAAAAACAAAGAGTTCATTTCACAGTCCCTTGTGTTCATATCCTCAAAGAAGTTCCTCTGAAGGTCTTCTGCCACATTTGCTGCTACACATGTGTAAAAAGACTGTAGCAAATGTCCATAGCTAGCTCCTCAGCTAGCTCCTCAGCTAGCCTCTGGCAGGATCTCCGAGGATATGGGGGGAAAAAACGGTTCATTTCACAAAATCCAACAGTCCTGTACTTGTGTCCTTTGGAGTGCACATGCTGCATTTCTTGCTTACAATTCCATGATATGACATGATATGCAGAGTGATCTCAAAAAACAAGTTTCAAAAACTTCCCAGTGTATGAGCCAGGTATTGTATTGTTTTATTGTTTGTATAATTAGTTTGTATTAGTTAGTTATTAGAAATGGACCGTACCTGACGCCCGGGGGGTATGGACATACATTTGTCACGTAATATAGCACCATGCTGTCACACAAATCTGACCTTATAACAGCTCAAGTCTAGGTGTAAGAGTAAACTGTAAGGGTTTATTTAAGCTCAACAGAGCACATTTAAAACAGACATTTAGTTATTTTCATTCATATCCGCTACGGCCACTGAAAGACCTGTTGCTGTCCACTGCAGTTTTTCTGACTCAATGCACAATGCATTGTGGTTTATCTTAACAGGTCGAGTGGTCATCATTGGACACTACTTTTCAAGATGCATTGTTGGAAATTTTGAGTGCACTACTTTTTCATCCATTGGACATTCAGACACCACTATAAATGGCATCATCTCTATATAGATCTTTATATATATATATATTTATATATTTGGATGCAGCCAATAGAATACTGGAGGACATATATGAATGTGGAAAATATCCCACATAAATGTCTATACAAATATGTAATTAAAAAATAACTGAATTCTACTTCTCTGTGTGCATTACAGCTGCTCAGACTCTTTGCCATGGCTCACCTGATGTCACAGAGCGTACACTCCAGAGCCAGAGAGCCCTCCAGCTCAGGGGGCAGCGGCAACAAGTTGCTTATATGTAGCTTTGCCTTGTTGCCATGGTCACAACGGATGACCTATTGAATGAGAAAAAGTTATTCTTGTGTCACAGAACCAACATAGTGTAAATCCCTTAGGTGAGGTTTCTATGTTAGGGGGAAGCGTCAATCATTAATACACATCACAGCTCATTTCAAAGTGTACAAACTCCATCATACAGTTATACAAACTGCCTTACAGGGACATGGATTTTGTTTAAGTGAAAGCATTAAAAAGCATTACATGCAAGTCCAACTGGTATTAAAGCTACCATTTGTAATTAAACTGGGCAACCCTGCCCACAATGCAGAAAAGTGCAAATGATTATTGTAGTCGCTCTATCGCCCCAGTGTGTCTGTCAGCAAAATATGTGTGGCAGTTGTAAAAAGTAAATGATGGGGCACTTGCTCCCTAACTCGTCCCAGTCAACTCTCTCTCATTCAGAAGTGTGTGCACCAGGGGAGCACGGAGTTACTCACTCACACACTACTCTACGCACATAGGAAACAGACACACATCTCACAAAAGACTATTGATCATCAACTGGCATGTAGTTTAGTATTGTCCTTACATAAAGTCTGGACTGTACACAGACCTTTGAGCCTGTTCTCACAGGTACAGACCACTTATAACACAAATGGGTTTAACATAAAACAAGCCTCCTACCTTTACTCTACCTAAACCAAGAACTAATGTACTGAAAAAAAAAACAACTTTTATATACAGAGCTATTTCTCACTGAAATAAGCTGCTCTATGCTAATACACAATCATGTAGCTTTAAAAAAAACATCAAGAAATCAATATTTGAAAGTGAAATAATGCTTACATGGTTAATGCTGTCCAAGCACTGTGATTAGCTTAACTGCTTTCTTCCTATTTCCCTCATGATAGAAGTTCCTTTTATTTTGAGAATGGACAGGAAGAGCAGTTTTTGCACTTGCAGAGAATAATGGGTATCCTTAAATAAACAAAGTAATGAAATAAAGATGCCATTGAAAGAGAAACGAAAACAGGAGCCGTGCCCCTTATCTCACTCAAAGCTTTTTCTAAGTTTGGGTAAACTAGAGTTGGCTACGACTTTCCCTCCCCTCCCTCCTGTGGCAGCATGATGCCCATCAGGTCAGAAAGATGCAGGCGACATGCTGTGCTTTTCCACCTTCAAGGCACTCAAAGGGCTTCACATCATGGAATCACGCACACTCACATAATTACACTCATATACACACTTAGACACCAGTGTACACAGACACTGGGACTGAGTGGGGTTAAGTGTCTTGCCCAAGATAGCAATGGCATTATTCATCACATCAGCCACCTGTGAGTCAATGGATCTGACTGTTCTTGCAGTGATGTTGATGTCAAGAGTGGGATTCAAACCTACTGAATTAGTGTTGCCCTGTCACATCTGTTTTTTTGTTTTTTCAGTCTAACACAGTCCAGATTATGCACCTATTTTTCATGGTACACGGTTTGTGTGAGTACCTCTGCCATATCGTTGGACAGGACATCAGCACAGAGTTGGGCCCTCTCCCAGACCCCGTTGATGTGAGCAGCACAGTACATGTCGGCCTTCCACATGATGTCCTCAGGCTCCTTTTGAGTACACTCCTGTTTGAGCAGCTCACACACCCTGAAAGCACAAAGCACACTTATTAGTTACAATACCAACTACACTAGCAGCATCAAAAATGTAAGAACAATGTTTGTTGGGGATACTGCTGGATGATGCATGGCATTAAAACAGCAGTCCACCTCAATGAAACCAAAGCCACCCTCTCAAAAATCAGTAGCCCATCATTTCACACTGATGGCTCCTCCATTTCTCCCTCTCATCAGGTTAAGAGTCTGGGCATCATTCACAGGACAGCACACTGTCCTTCTCTGCTCACTTCTCCAAAAGGTTCTATTCACACTTACGTCACAAACCAGGAAGACGTTTGGAAACAGGCGATGACAACTTCTGGTGTAATTACCGACACTGGCTCCCCTACCGACAGTGATAAAACCCACTGAAATTATTCTAAATGATTTATTGTTTGTTTATTAAGCGTTATGTATTAGCCGAACATAATGGAACACTACAATGACATGTAGATGAAGAAAACTGAGACATTTTCTCATCTTTCCTAGATTTTGTCAGACTTATCATAGCAAACAGAGCCTGCTGGAAGTTGTCATCAAATGTTTCCAAACGGCCTCCTGGTTTATGACATAAGTGTGACTACAGCCTATATCAGGAGATATGCTTATTTTCATCTTTGAAATATTTACCAGTTTCAACATTCACTCACCCCCTCCTTGAACCGTCACCTTATCGTGGTGGAGGGGTTTGAGTGCCCGAATGATCCCGGGAGCTATGTTGTCCGGGGCTTCATGCCCCTGGTAGGGTCACCCAAGGCAAACAGGTCCGGGGGGACGGGTCAGACGAAGAACGGTTCAGAAGCCCCTATGATGAGTGTACGAGCAAGGCCAGTTACGTCGCCCGGATTGGCGTCACCGGGGCCTCACCCTGGAGCCAGGCCTGGGGTGGGTGCTCGCCAGCGAGCGCCTGGTGGCCGAGCCTCCCCCCACGGGGCTCGGCCGGGCTCAGCCCGAAGGAGCGACGTGGGGCCGTCCTCACGTGGGCCCACCACCCGCAGGAGGATCCATATGGGGCCGGTGCAGAGAGATCTGGGCAGCAGTCGACGGCGGGGGCCTCGGCGACCGGATCTCCGGACATGGAGACTAGCTCTGGGGACATGGAATGTCACCTCGCTGGGGGGTAAGGAGCCTGAGCTTGTGCGGGAGGTTGAGCGTTACCGACTAGATATAGTCGGCCTCACCTCCACGCACAGTTTGGGCTCTGGAACCCAACTCCTTGAGAGGGGCTGGACTCTCCATTTCTCTGGCGTTGGCCGCGGGGAGCGGCGGCGGGCTGGTGTGGGCCTGCTCATTGCCCCACAGCTCAGTCGCTGTGTGTTGGAGTTCACCCCGGTGAACGAGAGGGTCGCGTCCCTGCGCCTTCGGGTCGGGGACAGGTCTCTCACTGTGGTGTCGGCCTACGGGCCGAACAGCAGTGCAGAGTACCCGGCCTTCTTGGAGTCCTTGGGAGGGGTACTAGACAGTGCACCGACCGGGGACTCCGTTGTTCTCCTGGGGGACTTCAACGCCCACGTGGGCAACGACAGTGACACTTGGAGAGGGGTGATTGGGAGGAACGGCCTCCCCGATCTGAACCCGAGTGGTGTTTTGTTATTGGACTTCTGTGCTAGTCACAGTTTGTCCATAACAAACACCATGTTCGAGCACAAGGGTGTCCATAAGTGCACGTGGCACCAGGACACCCTAGGCCGGAGGTCGATGATCGACTTTGTCGTCGTGTCATCTGATCTCCGGCCGTGTGTCTTGGACACTCGGGTGAAGAGAGGGGCTGAGCTGTCAACTGATCACCACCTGGTCGTGAGTTGGGTTCGCTGGCGGAGGAGGAAGCCGGAAAGACCTGGCAGGCCCAAGCGTGTAGTGAGGGTCTGTTGGGAACGTCTGGCGGAGCCCTCTGTCAGAGGGACCTTCAACTCGCACCTCCGGGAGGACTTCTCCCGGATTCCGGGGGAGGCTGGAGATATGGAGTCCGAGTGGGCTTCATTCTCGGCCTCTATTGTCAATGCAGCTGCTCGGAGCTGTGGGCGTAAGGTCTGTGGTGCCTGTCGCGGCGGCAACCCCAGAACCCGGTGGTGGACACCGGAAGTAAGGGATGCTGTCAAGCTGAAGAAGGAGTCCTATCGGGCCTTGCTGGCTCGGGGGACTCCTGAGGCAGCTGACGGGTACCGGCGGGCCAAGCGTGCTGCAGCCCGTGTGGTCGCGGAGGCAAAAACTCGGAGCTGGGAGGAGTTCGGGGAGGCCATGGAGAAGGACTATCGGACGGCCTCAAAGAGATTCTGGCAAACCGTCCGGCGCCTCAGGAGGGGGAAGCAGTTCTTCACCAACACTGTTTACAGTGCGCGGGGGAGAGCTGTTGACCTCGACTGGGGACGTTGTCCGGCGGTGGAAGGAATACTTTGAGGATCTCCTCAATCCCACCGTCACGTCCTCCGAGGAGGAGGCCGAGGCTGGGGACTCGGAGGCGGACTCATCCATCACCCTGGCCGAAGTCACTGAGGTGGTTGGCAAGCTCCTTGGTGGCAAGGCTCCGGGGTTGGATGAGATCCGTCCTGAGTACCTGAAGTCTCTGGATGTTGTGGGGCTGTCTTGGCTGACACGCCTCTTCAACATCGGGTGGCGGTCGGGGACAGTACCTCTGGACTGGCAAACCGGGGTGGTGGTCCCTCTGTATAAGAAGGGGGACCGGAGGGTGTGTTCCAACTATAGGGGGATAGGGGGATCACACTTCTCAGCCTTCCCGGTAAGGTCTATGCCAGGGTACTGGAGAGGAGAATCCGGCCGATAGTCGAACCTCGGATTCAGGAGGAGCAGTGTGGTTTTCGTCCTGGCCGTGGAACACTGGACCAGCTCTACACTCTCCATAGGGTGCTCGAGGGTTCATGGGAGTTTGCCCAACCAGTCCACATGTGTTTTGTGGATCTGGAGAAGGCATTCGACCGTGTCCCTCGTGGTGTCCTGTGGGGGGTGCTCTGGGAGTATGGGGTCCGGGGCCCTTTGCTAAGGGCTGTCCGGTCCCTGTATGACCGGAGCAGGAGCTGTGTTCGCATTGCCGGCAGTAAGTCAGACCTGTTCCCGGTGCATGTTGGACTCCGCCAGGGCTGCCCTTTGTCACCGGTTCTGTTCATTGTATTTATGGACAGAATTTCTAGGCGCAGTCAGGGGCCGGAGGGGGTCCGGTTTGGGGACCACAGGATTTCATCTCTGCTGTTTGCGGACGATGTTGTCCTGTTGGCTTCATCGAACCAGGACCTGCAATGTGCACTGGGGCGGTTTGCAGCCGAGTGTGAAGCGGCTGGGATGAGGATCAGCTCTTCCAAGTCCGAGGCCATGGTTCTCGACCGGAAAAAGGTGGCTTGCCCTCTCCGGGTGGGTGGGGAGTCTTTGCCTCAAGTGGAGGAGTTCAAGTATCTCGGGGTCTTGTTCACGAGTGAGGGAAGGACGGAACGTGAGATTGACAGGCGGATCGGTGCAGCTTCGGCAGTGATGCGGTCGCTGTATCGGACCGTTGTGGTGAAGAGGGAGCTGAGTCGAAAGGCGAAGCTCTCGATTTACCGGTCAGCAGTCTTCGTTCCTACTCTCACCTATGGTCATGAGCTCTGGGTAGTGACCGAAAGGACGAGATCGCGGATACAAGCGCTCGAAATGAGTTTCCTCCGCAGGGTGGCTGGGCGCTCCCTTAGAGATAGGGTGAGGAGCTCAGTCACACGGGAGGAGCTCGGAGTAGAGCCGCTGCTCCTCCACGTCGAGAGGAGCCAGTTGAGGTGGCTCGGGCATCTGTTCCGGATGCCTCCTGGGCGCCTCCCTCGGGAGGTGTTCCGGGCATGTCCCGCCGGGAGGAGGCCCCGGGGAAGACCCAGGACACGCTGGAGGGACAATGTCTCTCGGCTGGCCTGGGAACGCCTCGGGGTCCCCCTGGAGGAGCTGGAGGACGTGTCTGGGGTGAAGGAAGTCTGGGAGTCCCTGCTTAGGCTGCTCCCCCCGCGACCTGGCCCCGGATAAGCGGACGAAAATGGATGGATGGATGGAACATTCACTCACCCCACAGCACAACTATGCTCATCCATGCTTTAGTCACTTCTCCCTTAGTTTACTGTAACTCTCTCCTGAATAAACTACAGCTGGTCCAGAACTCTGCCACCTGCATGCTCATCAGGATCCCCACTTCTGACCACATCACCCCAATCTAGTCATCTCCACTGGCTTATCAAATTCCACATGAGAAGCTTGCATGTTCTCCCACCACTTGTCCAATTCCCCCACCGTTATACTGCCTCACGTTCCCTGCAGTCTATTTCTGCCAACCTCTTCGATGTCCGTCCTGCCCACCTGTTGTCTATGGGGGCCAGCGCCTTCAGTCGCTGTGCTGCCCAACTCTGGAACTCCTTTCTATCATCCATCTGTGACATAGACTCCATGTTTTCTTTCAAAACCCATTAAAAAACCCAGCTCTTCAGACTGGCCTATGAGGCATGAGATTAAATTCAATCAGCCTAATTCAATCAAATGATTGTTTGTCCTGTGTCCTCATGTGACCTCTAGATTTCTTTGTTTTTACCTTGCATTTTTGCAATTTTATTGCTTGTCTTTTTTTTTTTTTTTTTTTTATCTTGAGAGCTCTGCAAGGCGCCATTAAATAAAATGCATTATTAGGTCTGAGCATGGTGGCGAAAGGCCTATTAGTATCGCAAAGTACAAGTGGCTGAAAAGTGCACTGATGTGAAGTGAAGCTCTTGTTTTTATGTTTAACTTGCTTCACAGCTAGAGCGCACTACTGCTCCTTTTACACAAGGGTCAGTCCATATGAAATCAGCCATTTTCAAGGAATCTCCCCTATGAGCCATCTCAGATTTAGCTGAAAAAAATTTCTAAAAATTTCTAAAATCACCAAATGAAAGAATCTCAAATTTTAGCTCAGTCCCTTGAGTCGTTCCTGAGTTATGGCCCATTGAAATTTTGGAGCCATGCTCATTTTTTCTGAAGCCTTAATTTATAAACATGTTTGAGAGACCAGAACTTTATAAAAATAGACCTAGGAAGTTGAACACTTGTATTATTATAGATTCTTGGTCATAGATTCTGAATCTGTTGTCAAATATTGAGTATCTTTATTAAGGGGGGGGCACTGTGGGCCCCTAAAATCTCACATTTGGTTGCAACTACAGAGTTCCACTACAGTTATTACTGATTTGGAGAAGAAAAACAGGCTCTCGCTGTGGCTTCAAGCAGAGTGCGAACGATAGTGATGGAAATGCTGGTAGAGTATTTATCATTAACGATTGTCTCTATGAAGTACGCTTTCTAGAGAATATTTGGTGGAAAAACTAGTGTCACTACAGAGGGAATAAACGTTAGTCAAGAATCTGTGTTTGCAACATTGCAGCAATGGCAAAAAGGAAAATCGTGGCAATAGAGAGCCTGACCCAAAACTCCACAACCCGCTGGACAAGTTTGGACAGTGATCAAAACACGTTTCATTGGGCCAAAGATTGTCCACACAAAGGTGAAAGTGTTCTAATAGCTGATGACAAAGCATGGAAGAGGGTAACATTACATTGTACCCCAAAGAATCACCAACAGATACATAAATATTCATGACCAAATGTTTTGGTTTAGCTATAACAGACACTGCTTAGGACCGATATTATTGACCGGTTCATTCGATTTAGTGAGGGAAGTGTCCTGACCACCAAGAGGTCTTCTGAAATAGTGAAGCATTTTATCCATGATTGGATAAAATTGACTGGTGACACGGACCACAACAAAAAGTGAGAGACATGACTGAAAACTTTCATACTGAAGTGAAGACCACACCTGTGTACAGCCCCTGGAAGTGAAAACTAACAGTGGATGTGATTTAATCAGCTGCATCCCAACGATGAGAGGTATGGACAGAGGGATAAGGTGTTTTATAAATGTGTGGACTGTCCAAAGTGGAAAAAAAAAATCAACACATAAAAAATTTAGAAAAATGGCACGTGCACGGGCTGATCATTGCTGCTTGCAGCTATATTTATTATGATTGTAGGCATATATTCTTTCATTTCTTTATCTGAGCCTTTTTTTTAATTTAAACTCATTGCCTGCCATGGATATAAATGTTTTCCTGAAGATGAAAATAAATGAGAATTGATTGAAAACTGCCAAGAATATTAATGGGAGACTAACATGCACTGAGCATCATGTGGGAAACGCTCAAATTGTTATCAACATGGTACAGCAAATATTTTTATTTACAAACTTGTGCTTTCACATCGTAAAAAGTTTATGTTTGACTTCCCTCATTTTATTTGACCATTCTAGCTGCCAGATCACAGAGATCCATTTAAAAAGTTTAATATTTTGAGGAAATTGAAACATCAAACACAGATCCAACACAGCTTTATATTGCTATCTGCAAACGATGCAACATATCAAATACTGTATTTGATAATAAGAAAATGTATAATTAGTCATTAAATCAACAAGTGATTACCTGAGATGAGATGCTGGAGTTGACAAATGTCATGTAATATTTAAAGCCGCATACACAAGAGAATGAAAACACCTGAGCCTCATTTACAGAGTGGTGTGGGAGAGCATACTGACCGTTTGAGCCACGGGTCGTACTTGGTGAGCTGCACATAGAAGCTGCTAGGGGAGTTGACATGGGTCACCCGTACTTTGACCTCCTTGAGCTGAAGGGGCAGTGGGAGCTGGGGCTGGAAGTGGGAGCAGATGTCTGTGTGGTCAGCTGCACTGTCCCTGTCTGAGCCTGGCTCTAGAGGGGAGTCCCACACTGTAGAGTCCTCGCTGCTGCACGTGCGGCTGCTCTGGCTACAAGACAACACAGTATAAGCCCAGCTTTAGGTGGTATTTCAACACTTGTTTTAAACTGATTTATCAATTCACCCATGCACATAATCAGATGTTATTTTTGTAATCCATGAGAAATGTGTAAAACATGTTCATGAATAGAAGACAGTGGAGTCCTCTCTGCATGCACGTTTTACGCATTTCTGATCGGTTACAAAAGAAGCTCTGCAGAGAGGACAGTGGAGTCCTCTTTGCAGAGCAGTACAGTTTAGGAGAGCATTTTAATCATGAGGGACTGCTCCTCACAATGCTCTCTAGCATCCCTTTTCTTCCCTTCCAGAAAAGACAAGGATATTCCAATGGTGCTTTTGTAGTTTAAAGAAAGCAACACACTCACCCTTCTCTCAAACAGGCCAGCTTCTCCTCCACCAGCTTTTCCCCAATATTCTCCAGTGGTCCATTCAAGCTGCTCTCAAACAGTTTAACAGGGACAGGTCCATGCCGACGTCTTTTGGCTGTTGGGATAGGGAAAGGCTTTCCAACAAGACTACATGATAAACATGTACTGGAAAGGGTACACTTTATCTGTGACACACCAACATGATGTACCTGTAGCCACTATTGTCACCAGTTTGTGGTTGGCCAAGCTGATAAAGCGAAAGGAACACGCTTCACTCCAACTCCTTCCATCCAAGGGAACCACATCAGAGAGGCAACAGTGGATAGCCTAGAAAACCAGCCACTCAGACCAGAAAATGTAACTGCCCCACCCTACACAAGCCTAGAGGAAATGAACTTACACACTCTTAAATACAAAAAAACTAGCTGTAGTCCTGTAATAGATTAAATGGACAGAGGTGTCTTATATCAGCTATAAACAGACTGAAGTTTGGTGTTTTGTGGGACTCGCGCAGGTCCCACAAGACTTAGAAAGTCTTTAAAACAAATGTACCCTGCCACACTGACCTCTGAACTCTGTGCTGATAAACTGACCTCAGTGGAGTGCGAGTGCAGGTGAGGTGTAGGTCTGGGAAAGAATCCACAAGAAGTCTGTTTTTGCCAAACACCGCTGCAGTTTGGAGCAGTTTTCAGGTCACAATTATCACGTAAAACCACACAAAACCATGCTGCTTTGGCTGATTATGCACCGCAGATTGTGGTAGTTGGTGTAACATGCAATCAGCAAGGAACCTGCGGTAGATATGAACCCTATCCACCCTGCAGTCAGTGTAAATCTAAAAACTCTATATAATTATTTTATTAGTTTTGGAATCTTTTCACTTAAGAAGAGGCTGTTTATTGGTACCTCTGCATACATGCACAAAATCCTAACCATTTAAAAACTTTTGCCATGCCCTGTTTATGTATGCCATGTCATACATACATTTTGAGTCGACTACAGCTTTAAGAGGCACATACAGATCTGTTCCAAATAGTTGGTTCCCTCTGGTAATGAAAGAAAAATCAACAATCATCACTGAAATAACTTGAAACTGAAAAAAGCAAAAATAAATAAAAATTTACTGAAAATGGTCTAAAGTAAATCAAACATTGCTTTTCACCTGTGATTCAACAGAATTAGAAAAAACTAAATAATGAAACTGACCTGGACAAAAATTATGGTACCATTAACTATTTTGTTGCACAAGTTTCGAGGCAAACTTTGCAAACAAACGATTTCTGTAACTGTCAATGAGACTGGTATTTTGACCCAATCCACGTGAGCAAACTGCTCTAGTTGTCTCAGGTTTGAAGGTTTCCTTCTCCATACAGCATGTTTCAGCTCATTTCACAGGTGTCCAATAGGACTGAAATCTGTGGGACACTCCAGAACAGTCCAGAACAGTCATTATCCTGTTGGAAAACCCATGACCTACGACTGAGACCAAGCTTTCTGACACTAGGCAACACATTTTGTTCCAAAATACGTCAATAGTTTTGAGATTTCATTGTACCTTGCACAGATTCAAAACACCCTTTGCCAGATGCAGCAAAACAGCCCCAGAAGAAAACCAAGCCTCCTTCATGTTTCACAGTAGGGACAGTGTTCTTTTCTTCGTCTGCTTCATTTTTGCATGTGTGAACATAGAGCTGATGTGTCTTGCCAAAGAGCTCCAGTTTTGTCTCATCTGTCCAAAGAACATTCTCCCAGAAGCTTTGTGACTTGATTTGCTCTCAACAGTGGTGTCCTCACATGAAGTCCACTTTGGCTCAAACAGTGATGGATGGTGTGATCTGACACTGATGTACTTTGCCCTTCAAGTTCACATTTCATTTGTTTGGAGGTTGTTCTGGGCTCTTTGGTTCCATTCGTATGATCCATCTCTTTAATGTAACAGTTTTCCTATTGCAGCTGCGTCCAGGGAGGTTGGCTTCAGTCCTGTGGACCTTAAACTTGTGAAGAACATGTGTAACTGTAATTACAGGAACATCAAGCTGCTTGGAGATGGTCTCATTGTCTTTATCTTCAACCTCCTTGTCTATCATTTTCTTTCTAGTCTCCTGACACAGTTCTCTTCTTCTCTTTCTCTGGTCCATGTTCAGTGTTGTGTCCATCATGTCTCCAAACAGCACAGTGACACATGTCCCCTTTATTTTATTTATTTCGGTCACAGGTATATTTTGACATTAATTCACAGACAGTCATATTTATCCATCATATTTAAACAGACAGACTGACGGAGGACAAGTTTGAAGACACGGGTGATGCAGATTAGAGACACACTTAAGTTTAACATGTCCCTATTGTCCAACTATTTACAATCTTTTCTAGAGGAACCATCATTTTTGTCCAGGCCAATTTCCTTAATTTGTTTTTTTTTTTTTATGATTCTATTGAACAACATTTCAAAAACAGTGTCTGATTTTCACTGGTTATTTTTCAGTAAATTTTTATTTATTATTGCTTTTCTTAGTTTGAAGTTATTTTTGTAACCATGGTTGATTTTTCTTTCATTGGCAGAGGGGTACCAACAATTTTGAACACATCTGTATATGTACTGTGGAAATATGAGGTGGTGTCAAGCCTTTCATGACCTGCACACTTTAAAGTGTTGTCACTCCCATCAAATACATACTTGGAGTTATATTTAGTTTTTTCACACTTGTTTTATTAATGCATTAATCCAAAGTTGTCTTCTCTAAAGACAACTTTGAACTCTAACTCTAAAGTCTTCTCTTTTATTCTTCTGATAAAAGCTCCATTTGCATTTTACCAGTTTAGATGTGTCATAGATAAGACTCCTCTGTTTTAAAGCCCATAAACCATCATCAAACTGATTCTGCGATCAAACTGTGTTCACAATGCATTACAAAAAACACAACATTTACATTTGCTAGCACTGCATAAGTCATTTTTTCCCTTGTTCATTGAGCTCCAACATCTAAATGCATGGTTGAAATAGAAAATGGAGGTGAGGTTCATTAAGTATATTTTCCAGACTGAAATACTTATCCCAAGATGACCAAAAACTTTGCGCTGTATCTTGCTCAGACTCCTGCTAGATACAAAATGTTAGCGCTGGTGTAAAGAGGCTGTATTTGACCCCTGTGGGCAGGAGTGGGATGGTACAGGTACATATATGGTGATGGCATCTGAACCAGTTTGCTGTGGTATTTAAAATCATTGCCAGCATGGGTTATGTCTGCAATCTTTGCCTCATAACCAGGCAGCAAAAAGGGTTGGGGAGAAAAAACAAAAAAAGCAATATTTATGGTACAATAAAACAGCTCCACAATATACACACTAGTAGCGGTGCCAGGATTTGAATTTTAGATGGGCCATGAGAGAACTGGCTGGGTCCCGTGCATCCCGAGCACACACATCAACCTTTTTTGTTTTCTCTGTATTCTTCCATTCTTTTGCCTCACATTACACAGACAGACTCGCTGATCTTTCTCCCTCTCCACTCCTGCTGCCCTAGCAGTCCGTTTCTCTCACCTGAGGTGTGAGTTTCCACTGCTACGTGCTGCTGATCGCTCACACTGTGATCTCACAGGTGTCTATTGTATTTGGTCCCACACAGGCAGATGCCTCGTGGATTATGGAATGTGTTTATTATCATAAATGTTTCTGATTTAACCACTTTGTGCACAGATATGGATTAAATCATTAACACACAGGGAATGCACAACCTGCATTTGCCCCCACAAGTGACTTATAGGACAGATCAGTATTGAGGAGAACGAGACATTTCCTTTTTAAGCAAGTGTTGGACATACTATGAGATTTGATCAGAGATTTGTGTGGGTGCTCTGGGACCCACAGGCATTGCATCCAAAAGGTCAGTGCCTTAAATGGAGATTAGGAATGACGGAACTGCAGTGCACTCTTATAGAAGGAGGCACCATGATATGAGCGATCAGAGCAAGATACGCAGGTGTCTGTAACAGCAGTGCTCATGCGCACTATTTCTCCTGAGCAGCTGGAGAAAGCTCTGCTGGACAAAGCTCTGCTGGACAAAGCTCTGCTGGACAAAGCTCTGCTGACATGTATCTCCTCCTCTCCGCGTTGTCACAGTTGTCGAAGGTTCTTATGGTAGCCTACCTACTATATGTTGATGACAGAAAGAGAACAAGGATGCAAGTAAATGCCACATCGCAGCATTAGGACTGCAGAAAGGGTAAAAAAAACACACTTTAGGAGAGCGCTGTAAATGGGCTCATGTGAATGAGCAGCTTTTGTACAGATCCAGATCAAACCAAACTGTAGAACAGTACTAAGCCGATACAGGAAGCGGGCAAGGGGCTGTGCTCTGCTGCATGGAGGGCATCTATATGGCATGTTAATAAGGGTATGCATTTATCATCCTAATATATTTCCAAATAAAAGGCTTTTTATAGCCTTTTTCAATAGATTTGTTAGATTTTTATTTTAACGATTGTGTCAAATCACTGAATGTGCCACACCACATCCTGAATTTCCTTCACTGCACCTGATGGTTATGCACAGCACACCTCTCAGCAGTAGCACTGACACTATTTGCCACTGAATTACCATCATGGGGTAGGGAGTGACTGAATAATGCTCTGTAAAGCATCTTTGTGATAAAACACTATATAAATAAAAATTTACTTACTTACATAGATTATCTTGCTAACGCTAGCACCAGGGGCAAAATACAGCCCATAGACCTTTATTAAAGCCACAAGAATGCAGCATGTTCTTAAAATGCATTTTTTTTTTACCCACACTAACTCTGCCCACTGGTAACCCTCAAGACTCCACATGTCAAGGGACATGCACATTATAACGCAGAGGTTCAGTTGGACGTAGTTTGTACCATAGCAGGGAGGGCGAAAAACTCATCCTTGATCTTCCTCAGGTCTGTCACTGGCAGGATCTCCTTATTACCAAAGTCCACATACACCACCTCCACCTTTCTGCCACCTGGATGACCTACACACACATAAAGGCCACAAGATTCAGAGCAATTGCAACTCTGAAAACAGTGCAAGAAACATTTACGTGATCTGACTGGTATGATTAAATATCAAAACTTATAAATTACATTTATTTGAAGATGGTGAGGTGTGTATTATAGCTAAAGCAAAAAGCAAAACAGTGGTTTGAGTGAGAAGAAGAGAAAGAAATTATTTTTTCAAACATTAATGATGGGTTCAAACTTACCATCTGGGTAGCCTTTACACATCATAGTCAAAAGCACATCACTGTCATTCTAGGTGTGCTAAAGTTGACAGTGACTATCATATATATGTATAAATATAAATATAAATATAAATATAAATATAAATAAATAGATAGATAGATATATAGTCATGGACAAAATTGCCAATAATAAATACAAATTTCCTGAAAAACAGCCAATGAAAATCAGACACTGCCTTTGAAATGTTGTTCAACAGAATTATTTAAAAAAACAAACTAATGAAACTGGCCTGGACAAAAATGATGGTACTTCTAGAAAAGATTGTAAATAGTTGGTGTGTCTCTAATCTGCATCACAGGTGACTTCATGTCAGGACACCACTGTTGAGAGAAAATCATAAAAAAGTGAGACTGAATTTGCCACATTGCATATTGACAAGTCACAAAGTTTCTGGGAGAATGTTCTTTGGATTTCACAGATGCAAAAATGAAGCAGACGAAGAAAAGAACACTGTCCCTACTGTGAAACATGAAGGAGGCTTGGTTTTGTTCTGGGGCTGTTTTGCTGCATCTGGGACAGGGTGTTGTGAATCTGTGCAAGGTACAACAAAATCTCAAAACTAACGATGTCTTTTGGAACAAAATGTGTTGCCTAGTGTCAGAAAGCTCGGTCTCAGTCATAGGTCATGGGTTTTCCAACAGGACAATGACCCAAAACACACAGCTAAAAACACACAAGAATGACTAAGAACAAAACATTGGACTGTTCTGGAGTGTTCTTTTGTGAGCCCAAATCTCAATCCTACTGAACATCTGGGAAATGAGCTGAAAGATGCTGTCTGGAGAAGGAACCCTTCAAACCTGAGACAACTAGAGGAGTTTGCTCACATGGAGTGGGTCAAAATACCAGTTGACCAAAGCAGAAGTCTCATTGACAGTTACAGAAACCGTTTGATTGCAGTTTGCCTCAAAACTTGTGCAACAAAATATTATGTTAAGGGAACCATCATTTTTGTCCAGGCCAGTTTCATTATTTTGTTTTTTCTAATAATTCTGTTGAACCACATGTGAAAAGCAATGTTTGATTTTCATTGGACAATTTTCAGTAAATTTTTATTTATTTTTGCTTTTATCAGTTTCAAGTTATTTCAGTGATGATTGTTGATTTTTCTTTCATTGTAACAGGGAACCAACTATTTTGTCTACAACTGTATGAATATAGATAGATAGATAGAGATAGATAGAGATACAGATATAGATAGATATAGCTGATATGATAGCCTTCCAAACAGGAAGTGAACACGGACACAAAGTGGTTTCTTCGAGCCTTGGTCCAGTTGACTTCTATAGAAAAACGGTGGCCTCTTTCTCTAACTGTTGCTGTCAAGCCCATTGTTCTGACAAAATGTTCAGATTAACACACTCACAAAAATCTTATTTCACTGTTTTGTCGTTAAATCAAGATATGAATATTGATAACAGACCAGTCAAGCGCCCCTTTTTCGTTGCTGCTGCTATCTTTAGCAGAAGTTTAATTGACAGCGTCGTTACTAAGTGCCCGCACCGCCAAGGTACTCGGTCAGCACTCTCACTCCTGACCTGCTCTTTAGTTTTGCACCTAGTGAATGAGGACCCTGATTAAAGATTAGCAGCTATAACTGCCAACCTTGATTGGCTTAATTTGGTTGCAGGTTGAGTGTTAACTCTTGAACTCAGGGTTTGTCGACTCTCTGTTGAATGCCATTCAATCCTAACAGTGTGTGTGGTAGAAGAGTACCTGTGATCTGAGCTCTGTACCACATCTTGTCCTCAAACAGAGCCACACAGGCCTCTCCAATCACAGGGCAGTAGATGCGCAGGTCCTCCTCTTCTGACTCTGGAGGAGCACTGTAGAACTTCTGAAGTTTGTCCGACAGAAGCAGTGACTCCATGTTATCCACCTGTCAGTCAGGGCATAGGAAGCAACAACAATCAGAGAGCATGTTTTCATTTAACTAATTGTTGTTCACATGGTTTTGAATTAACTAAACTACGTATATAAAACTATGTATGCTGAGTGGTACCAATGTGGTACCCGCTGAATGTAGTGTGACCAGTGCTGTGTGGTACCAGCTGAATGTAGAAGTCTCCTGGGGTGTGGATATAAGACACCACAGCGTTGAGCTCAGTGCGGGTCTGGGGGCTGACTGGAGGGTAGTACAGTAGGAGTTTCTTACGGACTGTCACAGGAGAGTAGAATCTGCACACAGTTGTATCATTGATGCACACACTTGAGAATATAAGTCATTTCAGAAAGCCGAACTCATATAGTATACAGATTCATGATAAATGGAGTGAAGCTTTACTGTGTTTATTTCTTGACATTATGGCTTACAGATAATGAAAACCCCATTTCTGTTCTCTCCCAGAATTAGAACAGTGTGGAAAAATGAATAGTTGAAAGTCATGGTGTCATTCTGTAATCAGCTAATTAACTGAAAGAATTACTAAAGAAGCTGGTAGTTCAGAGTGCTGTATCCAAACAGATTCAGAGAACCTTGAAAGGAAAAAAAAAAAGTGTGGTAGGAAAAGGTGCACCAGTAAAAGGGACGACCACAGCCTTGAGAGGATTCTCAAGCAAAATCGACTCAAGAATTTGGAGGAGCTTCATAAAGAGCACCGAGGTTGGAGTCAGTGCATCAAGAGCCACTATGCACAGACAAAAAAACAACTGTACAGTTGCTCAGTGGTCCAAAGTCTCTTTTCAGATAAAAATACATTTTGCATATTGTTGAGAATCCTGTTGCAAATCATGGTGAAGGAAGAAAGTACTGTGATGAGAATCTACCACCTCTCCCAAGTTTCTTGCATCCAGGAGAGTGAAGCTTTTGCTCCTTAAGTTTTCATGTTCTCATTTTTATTTTTATTTTTTACTTTATTTTTGAAATTCTTACTTTTTTCATTACATTAAAAGTAGAGAAGTGATGGTAATTGAAAATAAGAAATGTAGCATTTGAAGTGTGATGTCTTGACCTTTATTTCTGCACCAGTGGAGTGAATCATGTAACCGCATCCTGTTAGTGTCTTGCAGCAGGTCTCGCCTTTACAAACATATGTAATTATTTTTTGTGCAACCTTGCTATGTTGACTATTTTGATGAACTTTCCAGGAATTTCCATGCTATTTTGATGAGCTCTGCATTGTAACAGGATATCTAAAGGTGCAGATGCACGAGTATGGGAGGGGGAGACTCTAAATACTAGTGCAAAATGAATGCATTTGTTGGACTCACTCAAGGTTTTTACCAAGGCTCTCAGGCGAATCTAAAAATATCAGGTCATGGCATCATTACCTTTAGATCTCCTGATTGCAGGAGTCAGAGGTGTACATGTATTTATTGTACATAAAGCCGGAGGGAGCCTACGGAGTATTCCACTGAGACAGCTGACGTTGCTGCATAGAACTCTTACGGGCCAACCTGGAACTCATGAGTACACAGGGATACTGCTACCCAAGTTTCACTTCCATCGGTCACCCCAGCGCCAAGGCTTGCCACTCTTAATAGAGTGACCCACGACAAGCCACCCTGGTGCTAAGATCTTTGGTTGACGAAGAGCGGTCTTTCCACCTATGAGTGTACTTAGAGGCCACAGCTAACAATACAATAAAAGCACCAATAAACACATTTTACTCTTTTAGTCATTTTTTCTATTTCATCCACTTGAAGACGACCACAAGGTAGGCTTGGTTATTTGATCTCTTGAAACTGAATTGCTTCTTGTAATGTCTGTAAGGATAGTGTGTTTATAGTTAGCTAAATCTGGGGTATTAGAAGGTCAGGCTTTTTAATACATATTTTTTGGAAATCAAGGTCCCAGAGTTTGGAGGATGAATGCAGAAGCACAGAATCGACGTTGCTTGAAGTCCAGTGTGAAGTTTTCACAGTCAGTGATGATTTTGTCTGCCATGTCATCTGCTGCTGTTGCTCCACTGTGTTTTGTGAAGTCCACAGTCAACACATCTACCAGGACATTTCAGAGCACTTCATGCTTCCTTCTGCTGACAAACTTTATGGAGACGCTCATTTCATTTTCCAGCAGGACTTGGCACCTGCTCACACAGTCAAAGGTACCAAAAGATGGCTCACTGACCATGGTGTTACTCTGCCTGACTGGCCTGCAAACTCACCTGACCTGAACCCCATGGAGAATCTCTGAGGTTTTGTCAAGAGGAAGATGAGACACCAGAACCAACAATGCAGATGACCTGAAGTCCACTATCAAAGCAACCTGGGCTTCCAGTCTACCTGAGCAGAGCCACAAAGGTGATCTCCTCCATGCCACGGCGCACTGATGCAGTAATTCATGCCAAAGGAGGCACAACCAAGTATTAAGTGCATAAAAATGAACACAATATTCAGAAGCCTGACATTAATATTAAATGTATCTAATATTCTAATTTTGGGTTTTCATTATCTATTAGCAATAATCATTAAAATTCAAAATAGATAAATATTTCAGTATGTGTCATGAGTCTATATGTGTTTGACTTTCTGAAATGACAAAAAATATTGAACTTTTTCATGATATTCACATTTTTTGAGACAGACTTATATGTACCTGGCCACCTCAATAAAAACCAAATGTTCTCGGACTGATATGTGGGGGCCACTGGCCCTGTTCACAGGGACTTTCTTCAGGTCCACCAGCAGGGAGTGTTTATCCTGTCCCAGAGTCTGCATCTTCACGGTTGTGGCGTTGACCATACTGCGGAATTCAACCTGCGCCTCTTTAGTCCAGCCTTTGGTCTACACACAGCAAAATCATACTGTGATTGGAAAAAGGTCATGTTTTATCCTGCACTAAACATGCAAGATTAGTCTTTATTTGGACAACTCCATACAAGCGAATTAGATGCTCATTTGACCAATTCTGTGACACAAGAACAGACATATGTTGCATTCTGGTTCTAGAATTTGATGTAGTCAATAGTCTATGTCTGCAAAAATTCCTCCTGTAATTCTACAAACTCAGAGGTTCTCAGGGGATTCTAGTCCCGTGTTAAGGCTCATGCAGTGGCGATCTCACACTGATTGACTGGATTATACTCTAATCTAGTTTGATTGAAGAAATAGTTTTTCTCTACAATGAAAAAAGTAAAAACATAAAATTGCGGTAAAAACATGACCTGGAAGTACAACCCCATTGTCGTGGCAACCGAGGACCAGCAGCATGGAGCCTCTATGAAGAAGTTGGGGTGCTTTAGGTGCAAACTTTGAAAAGTCTAGATGGAGGGGCCATATAGCGTGGATGGATTAAAAGAGAACCTGCGGCTGTTTCATGAGAATTCTGATCACATGGATGTCATTGTGACTGCCGATCGCATAAATGGGGTAAGAAACATGATGAAGCTAGAGTCCAAGTGCAGTCCGCTAAAAACAAACTGAAAACAAAAGCAATGTTGGCGACATTATGAATTAAAAGATTCTTGTTTTGTTTTGGTGTTTTTATCAGTCTATCATTTCTGGCATGAAGTCCGTAAAAACAGGTACTTTACTGACATTGCTTATCACGTGCAAATGTACACAAAAAACACAGTGGGGTAATTGCAATTTTACAGACATCCCTAGGTAAAACTAGTGCCATGCGAATAGGACTTTACCCCAAGTGTACACTGACAGTGCGGTTTTATTGTGATTTGTATGCCCCACTGACTGCCGTCTCTACTGCTTTGCTGCTGTGGAAACTGCACTCCTAAGACAACGTATTTGCGTCGATTCATGCTCTAGTCAGGTGTTCACGTGACACATTAGCATGTACAAGAAGCCTTTTGGGAAACAACAGCGGCATTTCACACTACGATCACTTTCTTGCACCTTTGGATACCACTTTATTGTGCTTTTGGATACTGTGGCTCTCTACACTGGGTAAGTATATTTGCGAAGTACCAGAAGTGTGCAGGGATATTTTATTCTGAAAATACACCGTATCTGAGCATCTGATTTCCTGTTTCGTTCATGTGATTTTGTCAGCTTGACGTCAAGTCACTGCTGTGGAGTGAGGCAAAGATAGACTTCTTGCAGCACCGCGTCAAGGTCAGTGTGGTACAAGTGATTTTACTGACTTTCTAAATCTTGTGGGACCAGCGCGAGTCCCGAAATTATGGCCAGTTAAGAATGTTGTGATTTCACATGAATGCAAACTTATAGCCTATTCAACCAGTGAGAGTAGTGCATGTGCTACCAGGTCATAGGGCACCAGATCCTTGAGGCAGCAGCGGATGGCCTGTGGAGCAAACGAGTCCAGCTCAGCCTTGGCCATGTCCGTCATTCTGCGCAGGTAGTTGTTGACTGCCTTGAGTAATGCATCAGACTCTCTGTCCTCACTGTGCAAACACAACACATATAACACCAGTGTCATGACCACACTGAAGTGACTGTTTCAGAATGGGGACCTTTTGATGGTGATGACAGTGGTCAGACCAGTATCGATGAAAAACACTTGCACACTGGCTATCTGATTGACTGGGCAGCATTTGACAGTGTTAGTGTATCCAACCTGAAACACCTCCATCGCTCTGGCCCGGTGCCACAGACCATCTTCATATTTGACAAAGATCAGAGACCCTACGAGACACACAAACACAAGAGCATCAGCACAGCATCTGTGCTCTCATTTTTACACTCAAAATGACAAGAACAAGAGAAAATTCATGCCACTTTCATCAGCACTCATCATTTTTGACAAAAATAGCTCAGAGGAGGGTTTGAAAAGTCACCAAAACTACAGTTGAAGCCATATGAGTAAAACCATGGCCACACTGTGTGTATCTTATATGTGCTTCAGCTTCAGATAGGTGTCCTGTTGGCTACATTCACCTGTGTCTAGTGTGTGGCGGGCACACAGGAGACTGCTTGACTTGGAGCAGTACAGGTTGATCTTCTTGGACAAGAGCTCGCCCTCCTTCTTCTCAGCCACATATTGCACATAGAAGTGATTGGGGTTTACCACATGGGTCACCACAACCCACTGGGTCACTGAAATATAAGCATATAGTCACATATCTGTTCACATGCTGAATTATTAGACCAATCGTAATCTTGGCCAGGCTCAAAGAGTCTGATTTTTACCAGCTCTAGTGTAACTTGTAGACAGTGTTTTCCTCGCCTTCTTCCTGGTCTTCCCACTGGCTAATTGGGGGCCAGTGGGAGGAATGGACACTAACAGAAAACAAAGCAAATATCCATCTGGATTATATTTGCAACACTGTCTGTCTGTATTAATAAAGATTAATGTAAACATTGTCCCTTCAAATGATGTTTTACTGAAAAATACTAATACTATTATTGAATAGACTAAGACAAAAAAATAGCTCAACATTTGAGCTGAAACTAGTTAGAAGTACAACTTACTACTGCTTACAATAGATCTGTGTTCACTTGACCCAAAGTATTCACAACTCCAATTGTTCGTCTTGCTAGCATGAGCATTAACATAAAAAAGCACAACTTGATAGTTGTACACAACAGTGAGAGTAAGTCTCCGTATGCCTGTGTGTGCATGTATGTGTGGTGAGGTGCCCAACACTGACCCTGCTGGCTGTCCTCCATCACCTCCTCGATGATGATGTCTGGGGCCAGGCAACAATGAGAGCCCTGGCGGGAGAGGCTGGGGCTGGGGGAGCCTGCAGAAGAGGGGCTCCTGCTGCCTGGACTGCTGCTGCCTGGGTCTTTAGACCTGCTGTCATCCTGGAGCCAATGAGCCCCCTTGTTTTGTGCAATGTCCTTTCTAAAACATACAAAATTATATATACTTAACATAACCCAATCCAGTAGAAAATATATCAAATGAAGGCAAAATGAACAATAAAATGATTATTATTGCACAGATTAGATATTTTTTCACATAAGGATCACCACTTTGTCCCATAAAACATACTCACTGGTTTGAGAAGTCCAGGACCATAGTTAAAGTCTCCTCCACAATGCCCATGTTAAGTCCACATCTAAAATAGACAGCCTTTAAATTACTTCTTTGTGTTTGGTTAAAAGAAACACAATATTCAACATCTACTTTTAAATGTCCCAATTTGTTGCCCCATTGCACCCTGTTGTATTCTCGCAAAATATTGGTAGATACTACCTACATTAGCATCAGTACAGAACAGGGAAGTAACTCTCCCATCTTGTCCATATGTGGAGTGGAAAATTATCCTTATATACATATAGATCCATTGATGTGAGATGTAAAATAAAGTGGGAGCAGCACACCAGCAACTAGCACCAACACAGTCCTACAACAAGACTGGTGCGAGGTGGAACAGCATTGGACCTGATGTCATTTTGTACTCCATTATCAGCCACTAGTGACTCGACCACATCCAGGCTGAAGACGGGCTCTGTTATGATGCATCAAAGTGCAGGAAATTAATGTAGGGCACTAAAACTTATTATTGTTATAATTAGGGATGCACTGATGCTGATACTGGTATTGAATATTGTGTCGATCCAGGGTATCGGCTATTGGATCCATGATATCAGTTTAGCCTAGATCCTGGTTAGACTCTCTACTGACTGATGTGGCCCAGGACACCTCATGTTTGAACTTTAATTCATACAAAATTCAGTAATTACAGACAGGATACATAACACACAGAACACAAGCAAATTAATTTTGTAATACAATAATTGTGTTTTGAAAGAAAAAAATGCCTGTACATAGGTACAGGTTCATTTCATCAGTATTTTACTTCTTCTGTATTCAAGGCACCATTACTTCCCCCACCACACAGCCACTCCCTTTTACTTGCTGCAGTTTTTAACTGAAAGACATTGGCCACTTTTTTCTTCTACCAAGTTGTTTCATTTGTTTTCATATTAAGTATATAAAATAATGATCCACATGTATCATCGATTCTAACTTTAGATTGGCAGCCTTGCTTCCATTAGTCTCTCTGTACAGAGTGGAGCATGAATGCATAATGCAATTTATAGCACTATATAAATCCAATGAATGAATTTAAACTGGTCAGTCCAGTGAGAAAACTGATTACACCATAGCTCTATTATGTACAAGGGTCCTGTACTTTCATTGTTATTATTTATAGCAGCATTAGCATTAAGCCCTACTTGAGAACATTCTACTCTGTCAGCGTGTCTGATTGGACCAACCTTAACCCTATGACCTCAGACAGACAGCTCAGATCAAACTGGTTGTCCACTGGAGCCTGCAGAGTCTCCAGGACCTGCCCAACACAAACACACAGGTCAGAAGCACATGTCAGACAGAGGAGGCAACAGCATGTAGACACTTTATTTCACTGAGTCAAGCACAGGCAGATCAGCACACACAGCTCAGTGTGTGCAGCTATGGAACAATCCCAGAGGGACTTCACTACATGGAACATAAGGCCATGAGACACACTTAAACATAACACAGTTTCAGTGGAAAAAAAATCAACCAGTCTCCTTTCTTAAGATTTGTGCATAGCTGACTCTTTATGCCTACCACTGCTCTCTTATCAAATTCTACAAAACTATTAGATCGTTAGACTGGTTATCAGACTATTCTTTCTTTCCTGTTGAATTTTAAAAAGCAGTAGGTAAACAGTAAAAAAGCACCTTATCAAGTGGGCAGTACTTCTCAAGGAATTTGACCCGCCGCACTTCCCTGGCCTTCTGCATGGCGAGCCCCAGGCTCCTGAGCCTCTCCTCCACCTGCTTCATCTGGCTCTGCGTTTGGATGAAGTAGGATTCCAGCACAGACAGCTTCTCCAGCTGAGAGTCCTTCCTGATGAAGCAACATTGACTGGCATGGATAATAAGAATTGGAAGATGAATCAAAGATAGCAGCTGTATAAAGGCAAAAACTTTACGTTTGAGACCTAATGTACATAGAAATACGTGGTAAAAACAACTGAAAAGAGCTGTGGGACACCACGATAGAATGGTCACATTTTCATGTCGCCTTTTGACTTTCAAAGGAACCACTGAACCATTAACACACACACTCACACACACAAGTGTAGGAAACGCTGGTGTATCTAAGCCCTGATGAAGACCAGTTAAGGTCGAAATATATTTTTTTCTCGTGCGAGTATCTGGAGTCCGTTGTGTTTTAGTTAAATGCTGGTGTATGTTTAATACATTTTCTGAGATGTGACCCTATCACCATGTGATTAGTTTTGACTAATCAGTGTGATGCCAGGCTAAATATTGCTAGGAATGCAATGATGTTCGATATAATATCGAATCGTTAGATATGAGATACAACTTGTGATATATGTGATCTTTTTACCTCCGCCAAGGAGGTTATGTTTTGCCGGCGTTTGTCTGTTTGTTTGTCTAGCAACATAACTCAAAAAGTTATGTACCGATTTTGATGAAATTTTCAGGATTTGTTGGAAATGTGAAAAGGAAGAACTGATTTAATTTTGAGGGTGATCCGGAAGAAATCCTAGATTCTGGATCACTTTGAAATTTTAGTTAACATTGTGGTAAATGGGGCCAAAAATTTTGTTTCTCAATATCTCGGTTAATTATTGACCAAACCCCATGAAATTTGACTCAGGGATGGACAATCGGATCCTCTTTCATATTCCAAATTGAAAGATACGAGACAAATATTTATGGAAAACACAATTAATATGAGGGGGAATGTAGTCCTTGGCGGAGGTCTGCGCTCTCTGAGTGCTTTTCTAGTTTCAGACTCCATCTGATAGGTTTCACTCATAAATGGTCTGTTGAGACATTTTCTTTGTACTATAACATAGTTTGAGAGTTTAGAAAGAAGATGGGAGAGCTCTGTGTGTCTGTAAGGCAGGGGTCTCAAACTCAAATTACCTGGGGGCCACATTAGATAAAGTCTGAGTGAGGCTGGGCCGCATTGAGTATTCGATAAATAATGGTTGCACGGAAAAAAAGAGAGAGAAAGAACAACACGCAACACACTTTCTTAATCTTTAATAACAGTTCAGAACATGAAAATGTATTCAGAACGTAAGTTTAAACTAATACGTCTACTCTTCTTCTTTTGCCTACTCCTTGCTGGTTGAAACCAGGCTACGATTCATCTTGTACAGCTGAGAGATATTTGGCTTGCAGGAGGAAGCAGATCCTCAGGATAGATTGAAGATGCTCATCAGTGAGCCTTGACCTGTATTAGGTGCTTTCACACCGACAGTATTTGGTGCGCACCAAACGGTCCATTCAAACCAAAAGTGGTTAGTTGGGTTCGTTTGCGTTGGTGTGAAAGCGTCAATCGGACTCTGACCCGGACCAACTCAACCGGACCGAGACCTCAAAAAAGAGGTGGTCTCGGTTCGCTTGAATCCGCACCAAATGACCAACTTTGGTGCGGTTCCTCTGGTGTGAACGCGAACCCGGGTCCAAACCATAGACAGCAGGTCCAAACGAACTATTCTAGATGCATCATGGGAGAAACGCGTCTCCTTTGCCTGTAATGACGCGCTGTACGACTCCAACAGTCACTGCGCACTGGTCTTGGTCGCCACCGTCTGGAACCAGCACATGGAGGACAGAGCCTCCGGACCATCTGACCAACGCGCTTGTAGGACGACAGAAGACCAAGGACCAGACCCCAGCGCTATCGTGAGGAGCTGCGCGCTACTGTGAGCGCTGTTGGCTGCTGCTGTTACCCGAACTCTGGACTGATGCGGTGAGTTTGTACAAAGTTCTACGTTGCTGTTTTATGAGTTCATGGTGATAAGATGAGGACGGCCCGCGGTATTAACAGGGAACATCAGTATTGGTTAACTGGAGGTATCGTTGTTCTACCGGGATACAGAGGCTCGTTAATCGGACCAGTTTTGGTTCATTTGCCGGTGTGAAAGCGGACCACACTGGAGTGTATCTGCTTCTCGTATGTCAAATATGGATGGAAGACGCTTGTTTTTGCCTCGTTACTTTTTGCTAACATGTCGCCAAGCCTCTGGAATAGATCATTGCAGTTTTGTGGTGCTTGCATATTGATGGGACAGCTGTGTTTGCCGCTGAGTGCGCGTGGATTTCGGCAAAGCACAGGTGGAGCTTGGTCATCAGGTTGCCAGCAAGTTACGCACCGAGTGTTGAGCAGGTAAACAGAGAGTCAATGTCTTTTTATTTCTTATTAGCCCCTCCAATAAAGGTCCCATACTTATGAACAGGGGAATTTTGTCAGCGCCTCCTCTGCGCTCTGATACTGTGGTTGTGGGAGCGTAAAGTGAAGTGCGCACACGTGTACCACCACGTGTGGTTTGTTTTGGTTCTTCGGTGACGCCGTATGTGCACGTTTAACAGATCCACTTAGACTCGTTGCTTCACAACTGCTGTAAATTGAGTTTTGGGATGTAAACTGCGTTAATAATCTGTTGTGAATCTGCATGGGCACCGATTGCAGCTTCATCTGTCAGTGCGGCCCGCGGTGGGGGGTGGGATTGTGCGTACATCTACCGCGGGCCGCACTGACATTATTCTTTGGAATCAAGTGGAGGGCCGCAAAAAATCCTTCCGCGGGCCGCAGTTGGCCCCCGGGCCGCGAGTCTGAGACCCCTGCTGTAAGGGCATAGACTGCAGCAGGAGTGTGGGAGGAGCTAATGTCTGTGCTGCTGCTGGAAGCCAGAAAGCAAAGTGCAGGAGAATCAAACTCAGAAAGAAAAGCAATGAAATCATCAAAAATAAATAATCAAAACACCATCTACAAAGGAAAAGCATATTTTAAAAACTGTTTTGCTTAGAAAGCATCATTCTTGTTTTCATTGAATAAAAATTCTGAGCTGTAAATCAATGAACTAAAGCACTTCACATATAGACTACTTTACAGTAGTTGTGCATTGTGCATGTGTATTAAAATGTCATGTTTCAATAATAGCACAGTGTTTATATTATGCTTATTAGCAGGTTGTTTTTTTCTGCATCTTAAAATTTTTGAAACTGAATCGATATCGTGACTCATGTATCAAGATACATATTAAACTAGAAAAGCACTCAGAGAGCGCAGACCTCCGCCAAGGACTACAGTCCCCCTCATATTAATTGTGTTTTCCATAAATATTTGTCTCGTATCTTTCAATTTGGAATATGAAAGAGGATCCGATTGTCCATCCCTGAGTCAAATTTCATGGGGTTTGCTCAATAATTAACCGAGATATTGAGAAACTAAATTTTTGGCCCCATTTACCACAATGTTAACGAAAATTTCAAAGTGATCCAGAATCCAGGATTTCTTCCGGATCACCCCCAAAATGAAGTCAGTTCTTCCTTTTCACATTTCCAACAAATCCTGAAAATTTCATCAAAATCGGTCCATAACTTTTTGAGTTATGTTGCTAACAGACAAACAAACAAACAAACAGACAAATGCCGGCAAAAACATAACCTCCTTGGTGGAGGAAATGATAGGAAAACCGTATTGTTGCTAGGGATGGACAGTTACTGATACTGGATCTCGGCACAGACACTGAATGATTTACTAGATCGGGTATCTGTTCTATGATATGGTTGTCGATATCCTGGCTGGACCTTTATTTGGATGTAATAAAACTATTTACAAGCTGAGTTGGACTGGAATGTCTCATACTGTTTGAACTTTAATTCATACAAAACGGTTCACGAGTTAATTGAAGGATAAATAACAGTCACATAACACTATTGGATCTCATGTGTAGTAAGTTCACTGTCTTTTAAGGAACTAAGTGCTGTTTTTGGCTTGGTGCATAATCATTGCATCCCTAAATATTACAAAACCAAACTTTTAGTCAGTTCCTAGAAATCAGTCAGTCAGATCTTAAAATCCAACTTTTGAAAGGCATAGATTTCTGTCAGCCAAACATGAGCAGTTTGATTTCACACCAGAGGAGAATGCTCTGGGTTTGGGCTGCAGTAGCACAGAGTAGAGAGATACTTTATTGATGCCAAGGGAAATTCATGTTTTGCTGCAGCAAACTGTTGCAGTTAATGTTGTTGCAACATTCACGCTGCGCTTCTCAGTGGCCTTTGTGTCTCAGTCAAATGTCTCAGTGCATTTAACAGGAGGACTGGTAACCTAATAAGCACCTCTAAGAATGTTAACACTGCTAAGACAATATCTCATCTGGCACTTTCCTGAATCCCTATGCCAGTAGTTCTCTTTGTTGCATGATTTTTTGACCCAGTAAAATATTTCATACCACTTCTGGATGCAGTGAATGGCTTTGGTGGTGGCCTGGGTGATCTCTGACTGCAGCCGACGCTTCTCTTTGGAAACTTGTTTAGTCAGGGCTTTGTGGAGATTCTGGACACAAACACATTGGAGTTATAAGGTCAAAGTGAGCGTTGCTTCTTTACATGTACACTAAGACGAGAGATGAACTCTGACCTCTTGAATGTTCTTCAGCTGGGCCATGTTTTCAGAAGCTTGGACCAAAGCTTCATCCACACCCTGCTCAAATTTGTGCAGATCTACAGACTAAAAGGTCACATGTAAAAAACAAACAACTTCAGCATAAGCTCCAGGAAAGACGACCTGGGGAGACGCCCCAACAGGAACAAGCAGTGTCTCTGTTAACAAGGATGTAATTTTATGCATACTGTGTGTTGTTTGTAATCTGTCATTTAGTTGTGTAATTATTGAGTTTTCACTATTTTTGTCACTACGTTATTATTCTGACATACAAGCCTCAGAAACAGCCCAGTAACCATTTTAACCAATCATTTAATACTCCTCAACCAATCAGGACTCACTCTCTGCCAACACAACTTTTAATAGTTTTCAGTGTTTGAGTTTTCTCCATCTGGGATACTTGCTCCACCCGTTCTCTCTGAATTTGGACTCTATTTCTATTAATTTCATCTTTGAATACTCGTGCATCCTTGAGAATGCAAGTTGTGACTATTATGTCATAGTTTTTGGTGTGGAAATTTGTTTGTATTATTTAACTGTTATCTACCTTACTTGCAGTTCTGTTTCATTTATTCTCAACCTGTGCCAACTCATGTATCACTCAAATTGCATATATTTACATCTTACATATGTTTATTCCGGTGGTTACTCCATATTTCATCAATTCTGCAACAATTAATCAGGTTTCTGTTGTTCACATCACCATAGCGTAACTTGTGCCAGTGATGCGTTCATGAACCAAAGAAGTTTGTATTTCACTGTGCTCTGCTGCCGGGCGTAGTACATTCAAGGGCACTCAGAATTTTTTGCCTTTAGGCGAGAACGTGCCACAGTCTCAATTTCATTAGGTTATCATTATAGTGCATTTCTTAATATATTCTATTTGTTTTTTGGACATTCTGTGTTTACATATTTGTTGTTGTTTTGTTTACTATTGCAATGTATCTTAATTTGTTCTATTATTCATTGCATTTAGTGTTTACTTCTGTCTTTTAGAAACCGTAATTCACATGAACCACATGAACCATCAGTCAAGAATATAAACCTCCACATTCAGCAATATAGAATGGCATGAATGTGTGAACTGGCGTCTTGTCCCTTTGTTTTGACAACTTGGGCAGATTGTGGATATCGAGCTAGTCCTAACACAGTCCTCTCCCCCAAGTTTGGGTCTTTTTTCCAACATCTCCTTTTCAGTCACTTTGTTAAGATTTAAAACTATATTTTGATACCAAGTAAAAGACTTGATACTCAATACCCATTCTGATCCCACAATGATAATTAGAAACACTATCTCTATAGTGGACAAGGTCATTCTAAAGCTGTTCAGCAAAGGTTCATTTCTGTCCTGTAAATGTGACTTTTTAGTCGTATTTTTCAGACCATAAGTTGCACATTTTTCGTGGTTTGGGTGGTCCTGCAACTTATACTCTGCTACTACTTACTAGGGATGGGCATTCGATGAAATTTTCTTAATCGATCGTCGGAAGAATTAACGATCGATTATCGATTAATCATTAACGTTTTTTTATATTAAAATTATCATCATTATTATTACTATCTGCACTACTAATCTGCATAAATAAATTCAACTTTACGACATATAAACCGTAACCACTCTAGAGCCACATCAGCCGTTTGAGATTATAATGTGTTTAATTCAGTTTTGCGCAACTCTCACAGAAACAAAACTTAAAACCGCATCGCTAATTTGCATAAAATCAGCGAAGATAAAACTACAGCTCTTGTGCGCTGATGTGGTCAATTTCTGTCGGATTAAAAGACATGATTCAGTGGAATACAGGTTAGTGTGAACATATTTGCGTTTGTCAAAACCAGGACACCGTACAGGGGGTGGGAGGTGGGGACTCGTCATCGACATTGCGCTACTCTTACCTGGTAAAGCTTTTTCCCACTGGACACCGAAACATATGTTCCTGCTTTGTACACTGTGCACATGAACTCACACTTGTCCTGAACGCAACGGAAAGCATGGAATTTCTTGTACAAATCATCGTTAAATAGGCATTTGTGCTTCTGTACGTTGCAGACTGACCGAATGTTTGTGTTAGCTCGCTCCTTCTGAGTGTAGAGAGCTACATGTACGGACCCGTTTGGTCATGCTACGCACAGCAACCTACATTCGGTTTGTCGATTAAAATTAACGTAATCGATGAAATTCTTAATGATCAATTATCGATTAATCGATTTATCATGCCCATCCCTACTACTTACATGTTAAAATTTTCAAACTGATAGCCATGAGAGGGAGCTCTAGGCTTGTGTTATCCTGTACCACTGTCACATGGCACTCTACTGCGCAAGTCGGCTCCAGAAGAAAGAGAAAGAGCCACTGTCCTGTCTGGTATCATGTTAGTGTTACTTCTGTATCATTGACCATTGTAAATTTAAACAAACAAAGACATCTTAAAACATCCTGTCGGGATTCAGAAAGGCTAGAATAATTCTAAGTGGAACTGATGCTGAGTCTGACAACAGCTACACAGAAGAGGAAGCGGCGCTCTGTTTGCCTCCGGAGGTCACTGAGTTGCTCAGAAGTGACACCAAAGACTGACACTCAGAAGTTAACAGTCTGTTGTTCTCTGTTCTATTGTTAGCACTAGAACTTGCCTTTCAAGATAAAATGTCGGTTCCTGGTTTCTGATTTGATCAAATAAATTTCCCCCAAAAAGTGTGACTTATAGTCCGGTGCGACTTAAATATTTTTTTGTTCTTCAAAACGCATTTTTTGGTTGGTGTGACTTACAGTTTGAAAAATAAGGTATTGATATTTGTTCAAATGAGTAGTATCTACACTGCTTTTATTCACGTCAGATCTCAATGCGGGAAAAAAATGCTGGATATCAATAGAAATATGGACAATGGTCAATGTCTTAGGAACAAAAGGATGCCACGTCTTTACATGGAAATCACATTTTCAGCCACAAAGGGCTTCATTTTATAAACAGCCTGAAAATCAAAGTGAAATTTTGCCAAAATTTTATTTCTGCAACTCAAAATGCAACAAGGATAGTGTCCTGTGGGATGTTCTCCCAGATCTGTGTAAGGGCATCACTGAGCTCCTGTAGAGTCTGAGGAGCAACCTGACGACGTCTGATGTCCCAGACATAGTGTCCCAGAGGAACCCTGGACCTACTGCACCAGCGTAGAGTCTGACAATGGGTTCAAGGATTTCATCACTATACCTACTGGCAGTCAGACTGCTGTTTGCAAGTCAGAAGAGATCTGTATGTCCCTCAAAGGACCTCCCCAGAACATCACCGACCCACCACCAAATTATGTAGGTTGGACAATGTTGCAGGCAGCAGAACGTTCTCCTTGTCTTGTCTTGAATCTCTGTGCACCCCTCCCCGCTCCTAACTTGCCTAAACAATTTTCTGTGGGAAACACTGTGAACCTGCTCTCATCTGTGAAAAGCACAGGGCACCAGTGGAGGACTTGCCAGTTCTGGTGTCGTCAAGCAAATGCCAATGGAGCTCCATGGTGTTCAGGACCCACTACAGGACGTGGCTCCCTCAAGCCACCCTCATGAAGTGTGTTCGTGATCGTCTGGGCAGAGACACTCACAGCAGTGACCTGCTGGAGGTCATTTTGTAGGGCACGGGCAGTGTTCAACCTGTTCCTCTGTGCAATCCAACATATTTTTTATCCACATAAAGATCTGATGTGTTTTCAAACTGTTCCTTTAAATTTATTTGAGCTGTATAGTTTCTATACTAGTTTGAATATCAATTAGTAACTGAACTCAATACAACTCTAAGAGCAAGTGGAGCTTTTGGGACAGGACATACCTGATAGGCACTGTCCTCCCAGAGCGGGTGGCCATCCTGGAGCAGAGGTTCTCTGTTCCTGGGCCGAGCGGGGCGGCTGAACCTTTGGACACACAGACACGCACACATAGTTAGCTGCAGTTGTCATGAAGACAGGAATGGATCCTCTGCTCTACCTCCTCTTGTTCATCTTGGCTGTGTAAAGCAGCCCAACAATTCTGCAGTCTTCTGTCAGCCCATCTACTCCCATCTCAGGCAGTGTGGACTCCACCTGTAGACACACGAATGCACGCACACACACGCGCACGCACGCACACACGCGCACACACACACACACACACACTTAAGCCATGGAACTAACTCACTGCTTTATTAAAAAGGGGTTATTACACTTCTACTGGGTATTAACTGCTAACACATAACATAGGTCACCATGTTACCTTTGTTTTACATTTGCTGGAAATCACTATATTTGCTGAAATGTATTAACATGTTTAATATGTTTCATGCTCTGAGTCTCCCCTCCCTTTGCTCCCCGGAGTAAGTTACTCCCTTAGAGTGCATGACACTCATATATCATTATATCAGAGTACATTATAATCAGTGTGCATCCCACTAATGAAACTACAGCACATCACATCAGGGTTGTGAAGTTGCAGTGTAGTTTTGTATCATGTTTTTGTATATTTATGGAGAATTGTCGTGTAGGAGCATGAGTGATGTAGGCTTGTGGGCGGAGCAGTGCACAGAATCTTACAACTAACCGTAAGGAGGGTTGGAATAGGGCCCAGGAAATATCACTAGATTAGGCAAACATGCAAGGATCACACCTAAAACCTCTTCGGGCAAATGTCTGATGAGGGAACAACTTTAGAACATGGTTAAATTAGACATTTCATCAACAGTTTTCATTTCTTGTTAAAACATTTGGAGGAGTTTTTCTCCTCAAACATGAGGTTTTAAATTGTTAATCGTTATAGCAACCATCCCAATATTAATCATTCTGAAACCCAAGGTTAGAGGTTACGCAAACATTACGATTACGCAAACATTTGGAATTTTGACAGTGAGAAGCATAGCTGTGTGAGTGTCAGTGGTCTGGGAAGCTATAAGGGAATAGCTTAACAGGGTTCCCTGGTTAATTACAACTGGATATTTTGATGTTTGCAGAGAATATGATGTTAAATAATTGTTATTTCTATTGTGATAAATCTAGCAGACCAAAATGATGATGATGATCATTTCAGTTAAGAGTTAATGAGATGCACATAGACTGTATAAAGAAGTGGACTAAGTGCTCTTTTCTCCCATGGGCACACGCAAATGATCGCTTTGACCAATCAGAGCGAGAGGAAGTAGAGCGGAGCAGAGTGGAGCCTGAGCTAATGATTTCTAAAGCGTTTTTTAAGACAACTGAAGGATTTTGAGCTGAGAAAAAGTTTATGATCTAAAAATAGGTAAAAATCTGCAACAAATCCAACATTATTGAAAGTTGTAGGTGCCCTGTCAGCTGAACATGAGCAGTGTGTGATTACAATGCGCTCTATGAGAAAAATCCTCTCTCAGCCCAGGGGATTATTTTAGGTGAAGTTCCAGTGAGTGACCAGTTGGCATCAACGGGAGGCAGCTACAAGCTAGCAATACCCTATCCAGTTATTTTTATAGATCCATGGGTTTACTTAGCAGCGAAATGCACTAGCTGTCAATCAAACCTGTTGCTAACTCTAGCAGGAGCGACACTGGGGAATGAAGGCGTCTGATCGGTCCTTTATTTATGTTCATATCTTGATTTAGGAACAAAGTGGAGAAAAAAAAAAATTCAGGATCATGTAGAGTGGATTAATATGAACATTAAAGACCAACATGACGAGGCTCACAGCAGCAGGTACAGAGAGAGGAGCCACAAGATCCCAATGGAAGTCAATTAGAGCCAGAGTCAGTAGGAGCCAGAAGAGCCTCCTGGAGCACTTCCTATTTGGAAAGTGGTGACTAGTGTGTTAGTATGTCCATTCATATATACTGTCTATGGAGATGCACAAGGGAAATGTTATTCTGCCTAACAATGTGCCTTTGACACTACTCTGATGCTGCTCCTCTGACACTCTAATGAGCCACTGGGCTCACAGACAATACCTAAAGCCAATAATGTGACCAGGAGGGCTGCAAGATTGATTGCAATCGAATCAAAATCACAATTTGAATGGATGCAATTAGCAAATTGCTAAAATTCCAGTTTTTGAAGTACCATAATTTCCTCCACACACAAATTGCGTTTTATTCTGCATAAAAAGTGCTAACCCTATAGTTTAGATTTGTACAAACATGTTCTGAAATGTGATTCTTATATTACTTTGTCAGATTTCAGTGTTTTTGTCAGTTCGTCTGTGAACATGAACTGAATCCTATTATTAAAAGGGGATATTAAGCAAAACCTTTTTGAGCTTTCTACCATGTTATGACATCCTCATCCAAATCATGCCTGAAGAGGTTTAGAGATCATCCATGCATGACTGAGTATTTTAGTGATCTCTCCTGGGCTCTATTCAACTCTCTTTACACTTAGCAGTAAAATGTGTTCAATGCCCCGCTCACAAACCTACGTTACCCATGCTCACACAAGGCAATTCTCCATAAATATACAAAAACATCATACAAAACTGTACACAGCAACTTGACAAACCTGATGTGCCACGCAGCAGTTTCATTAGCGCAGGGGTAACTTTGTTCGCACAGAGCCACGTATTGAGATATTTTTGAAGCAGAGGGCCACAGACTGATGTCTACACAGTGAACCATTCAGATTTTGCCTAATGGTTCAGGCCTAATAAGCATCTGTTGTCAGAATCTGGCAGTCTGTACCTCACACTGTGGACATGTGATGGCACTGTTGTGCTCCATGGATCTCAGGCAGGATGAGCAGTAAATGTGCCCACAGAGCAGCACCCGCGGCAGATTCCCCTCCACCTCATCCTCTGCCAAAACACACGGTCAGTCAATTAGAGCAGTGCTTCTCAAACTGTCGTTGAGTACATGTGGTATTTAGTAGAGATCGACCGATATGAGATTTTTCATGGCCGATGCTGATACTGAGTGTTTAGAATTGGGAGAAACCAATAGCTGATCAGCTGTGCTGATATGCAGATCAGATTTTGATCATTTCCCCCAGCTTATGACATTTTAATTTACTACACACTCAGTGTTGTACCACAAACCTACAAGAGAGCCGTGTAGTCACATTTTCTGCAGTTATGGCTGTGCACTAAAGTGTTCAAATTAGAGCCCGACCGATATAGATTTTCTTGTGGCCGATATGAAACGGATATAATCGGAGTTGGAGCTGCCGATAGCCGATAAATTTGCCGATATATTTAGTGATGTAAAAATTCACTGTAAATCTTGAATTGTTTAAAAAACTTAGGTTTGGCTCTAGTGGATTCTAAATTGGGTTTATTTAGGCAACATTTATTGTTGTTCTGCCTCTTTACATCACATTTACATACAGTAGATTGGCCTAATGGTCATTTTTGCATCACATTCTAGCTACTAGTGATGGGTATTCCAGTTTTTTTTTTGGAAAACCGGCTCTTTTGGCTCAGCTCACTAAAGCAGCTGGCTCTTTCGGCTCCCAAGCGACTCTTGAGATTGTTTTGTTACAAGCAGGACTAAATCAGAACTGAACCAGGACTGAAAAAGGACTAAACCAGGACTAAAACAGATTTAAATCATGTGTGAAACAGGACTGAGTGTCAGGACTTGGTTTCTATCTCTCTCCTTCACTCGAGCCCAAGATTAGTCCTGGTTTATTCATTTTATGCTGAACTGCAGCCAAATATGCACTTTTTTTTATTATCCCGTGCACACGCAGATTTCTGAAAGTTTTCAGCCCCTGCTGCTGTCAAACTACGGGTCTACATGCGGCTTGAAGAGAAAAAGTGAGAAAAAGAGAAAACACAGCTCCCAATAAGAAACATGCTCCTGTTGTTCGCTTCAACGAGCCGGCTGTAAGAGCCGCTTCGTTCGCGACCGACCCATAACTCCTAGCTAGTAAATAAACTACCGCTATTAGCCTTTAGCCGTAAAAACGTGCGCGCCGCGGTAATTAATTATATGCATAAATGTGGATCATTCACACATCTATTCACAGGTCATTTACATATCAATGCAGGTCCAGTAACAAATATACGGCCAATGTAGTCACTTTACAATAGGCCAATAGAAAACAGCCTGTTTATGTGTGAGAGCTACAGCAGCTAATCGCTAACAAAACCTAAACTGGCTTCAAAGTCGATGTATTTCCAACACTCACCGCTCACACAGGCTCCTCCTCACATCACAAGTCTGCACTAATAAAAGTCCTTTTAATCCAGACTCAAACCGATTGTCGTAAAAAGAATATAATCTCAGTGTTGCGCACCGCTGCGGGTGTAAACAAACACAGGTGAGTGAAGTGACGTGACTCTGTGGTGTGTTCAGGGACAGTACGGACACACACACAGACAAATTACACCGCAGATAAATACTGATGCGGAGCCACATATTTATCTGTCTGTAAATTGGATTAAATGAACATAATGTAGAGAGTCTAAGCTTTATAACGAGGTATAACATGCCCACGTGAAATATCGGCCCATATCAGCGAGCATATCGGCCGATAGCCGATATGTCTCCAGGTGCCCATAATGGCCAATAATATCGGCCAGCCGATATATCGGTCGGGCTCTAGTTCAAATAAAGCATTATGTGACAAACAAAGCTTTATATGACAAAATATATAAGATATATAAGACAAAATATTGACTTACGCTGGAAGAAGACTGATAGTTGACACTATTTTTTAATCTATGTTATAATGTTGTCATGTTCACAATAATTACTATATCGACTTGTCATTCAATAAAGCAGCAACAATATCTTTTGGGGTCAATATTTATTGTGTGTACACTGTCTTTGCACTACTGGGAAAGTTTTGGTTATTTTTTAGCTATATGATATGATTTAAGCCGTAAAAGGTTGAATTAATTAATTCTAAGACTCATTATAGATGTAAACTAACTACTAAAGTTGTTTACTTGTTGCAGCTCATGTTTTTTAAGCAATACTGGACATTTAGAATGGGATTTGTGGTTTAAATCTGCTTTTGGGTTATTGAATTTATGGCATACATCAGTTTCAGTATGATTGTTTATCATCTTTATTTACTAAAACAATATGTCAAAGTTTAAAATTTGTTATCATGACAGACGTAGTTATTTCCTCATCACAAACAAACCTTGTTTTATTTCTTTCACACATGTGTAACACACAAACCCTGCATGTTTAGGCTGAGTTCTTCTCTCACTCTGTTCCACCATATGATTCCATGTGGCAATACAGGAAGTGCTCCATTGTGGTTTTAAAATCCATACATCTTCACTAGAATGATTTTGGATGATTTCAGACCTGGAATCAGCAATCTCTATTAAACTTTCTGACCTGAGAGAGTGGCAGCAGCCAGCAGGTCATAGCAGCTCCTGAAAGATCAGATCATCTTTTCACTGTTCCTCCTTACACCTATGGTATATTGCTGAGATATTTTATTACTTGTTTCTATTTCATTTTATTTTACTTGTACATGTACATTTATATAATTATGCCATATTTGAGTAAAGTCTCTTGATATTTTTTTTTCTTATCTAGAATTTATTATTACCATTTATATTTTCTCCCTTTTTTATTATTTATATTGTGATGTGTGAGCTACTGTGTCCAAGTCATTTCCTTTGTGGATGAATAAAAGTTGTCTAAATCAGTCTAAGTCTAAAGACTTAGACTTAGACTTAGACCCCCCCCCCCCCCACCCCCCCCCACCCACCCCCCCCCACACACACACACACACACACACACACACTGTATGCATTAATTTAATAATTGAGCAACTAGTGCTCTGAGTCAATCCACAATGTTAATAAACCTCAAACCTGAATATTTAAGAAAGTACAAGTGAAGATTTGGCTTTCTTAGGAAAAAATCGATGGGTGCACAATTATTGGGCACTATATTAATGTGCAGAATTATTATGCAACTAAATGAAAAATTAACATTTTCCATTCTCACTTGTTTCTTTTCATCTGTCAGAATAGTAAACAATAGTAAAATTTGCTAATAAACATTTCTGATATTTCAAAAATAAATCAATGACCAATATAGCCTCCTTCTTCTCAATAATAGCCATAAGCCTTCCATTCATGGAGTCTGGTAGTTTCTTGATCTCTTGGCAATCAACTTTTGATCAGCAGCAACCACAACCTCCCAGACATTGCTCAGAGGTGGACTGTTTTCCTTCACTGTAAATCTCCCGTTTAAGAAAGGCCCACAAGTTCTCAGAAGGGTTTAGGTCAGGTGAGGAAGGAGGCCTTGTTATTATTTTTTCATCTTTAAGGCCTTTACTGGCAGCCATGCAGTGGAATACTTCGATGCATGTAATGGAGCACTGTTCTGTGTAATATTCATGCTCCTCTTAAAAGACTTTTCCCTGTACCAGTGCTTGAAGAAAGTGTCTTCTAAAAACGGCAGTAGGTTTTCATTTTTGAGTTCATCTTCAACCCGAAAAGGTCCAACAAGCTCATACTTGCCCATACCAGTACTCCACCTCCACCTTGCTGGTGTATGAGTCGAAGTGGAGCTCTGTGCCCATTACAGATCCAGCCACAGGTCCATGTGGTCTGTCAAGAGTTACTCTCAGTTTGACGGTTCTGTCAAACATGCCCCAATATCTTTCCAATTTCAAAAGTGCCGCTTCCCTCTGAAAGACTTTTTACAATTTTTGATTTTTCAGAGTCAGTTCAATCTCTTTTTTGGCCCATTTTGCCTGAATAGAAGCTGCCTAATAATTCTGCATACCTTGATATAGGGTGTTGATTTCCTTAGTCCACACCCTCCCTTGACAAATACACAAAAAATGCTTAAATCCAATAAAAATTCAAGTGTATACAACTTGGAGTTGAACACATTGTCAAAGACTGAAGAAAACCTGAGTCTTTTACCAGACTTACAAAGACAAAGACATACTGACCTATATAAGTGGATTTCTGCACCTAAATGGGCTGGCAGCTAATCAGTATTAGTGCTGTCATGCGATTAAAAAAATTGATCTGTAATTAATTAATCTAATTAATCTCATTTTAATCTCACCTAAAAATTGCTGAGAAAAGCCTTCAATTTGGTATTTTCATTTAAATTCATTATTATGTTATTGTGGCAGATCAAAAGACTGATATAGATTAAAAAAGTGACTTTATAAAGTCATTTATTGTTTAACAAATCTCTCCAAATTGGCTGTTGAGCCCAAGTCTCCATGAATAAGAAACTGTTTGCTGTAAAGTAGCAAAGACGAGGAAATCTGAACATAATAACTTTTGTCTACTTAAAGACAATAAAAAAGTCCAGTCTTTCCTTAACCATATTAAAAATATTATTGATAGAGAAATGCTTTATATATGAGATCACTGGTTTTAGTCCTGGTTTAGTCCTGGAAAGGGTTAGTCCTGGTTTTAGTCCTGGTGTTAGTTCTGGTTTAGTCCTGGTTTAGTCCTGGTTTAGTCCTGGTTTAGACCTGGTTTAGACCTGGTTTTAGTTCTGGTTTTAGTTCTGGTTTAGTCCTGGTTTAATCCCGGATTAGACCTGGTTTAGTCCTGGTTTAGTCCTGGAGTTAGTTCTGGTTTAGAGGCGCACAGGAGGAAGCGCAGTTTACGCAGCGTACGCGAGAAAACACGATCCACACGCAACTCACGGGAGCACGTCGGTGTCCGCGCAGTGTCTATGGAAGGAAACGTGGTCCGCGCGTTCTCAGGTTAATGACGATGATGAAGCTGTGTGTTTGTGTGTGTTTGTGTGCGTGTCCCCTCATGTGGCAGGTCACTATAGGACAGTAGTGCAGACATCATGAGCCTATGCAGGTTGTTTTCACCAGTGACATTTAAGTTGTAGGCCATATTATGTTTCTTATTTTCTTTTATATTTCACGTCGGGAGAAGAATTTCCAAGACACGAATGTCTTTTTACCTGTGCACTGCTGCCTCTGTTCTACTGGCTCTTCGACCTCATCCATTGTGCACTGACGCCACCAACGTGAACATGATGTTTACATCGCTGTTACTGCGCGCGTTTTGTGTGGGTTTCCGGCAATGAGTGGAATTACCGAAATAAAAAAATGTATAAATGTGTTTTTTTTGTGTGTGTGTGTGTTGTTGTCCCAACAACACATAAAAACAGGTTTTATAATAAAGCAACTCGCATACAGAAACAGTAAAGTTAGAGATTAAAAATGAGATTAACGCAATTAAAAAAATAACGCGCTAAATATGACTGTAATTAATTAATCGCAATTAACGCAATAATATGACACCCCTAATCAATATATACATTAATTAAGCAATTCATGTATTTTTGCATCAGCGTTTTCTTCTTTAGTCTCATTTAGTCTCATTACGATTCAAAAACTTTAAGTCTGTGTATTGTTGATTAGCATTAAATTATATATTAATGAGGCAGAGAGTAGAGAAATGAGAAGTGAAATGATCCCAAATGCTTTCTGCTAAACACAGTTAATGTTTAATGGTAACTGACGATAAAATCACAAACTAAAGTTAAATCAATCGTTTTTCTGTGTATTAAATAAGTGATCTAGCCTATGTTAATTACCACATCTGCATTAGTGAGAGCACATTGTATTTTCGCTATTTTAGCCATTTAAATCATTTAAACCAGGGGTGCTCACACTTTTTCAGCATGCGAGATACTTACAAAATGACCAAGTCATAAAGATCTACCTAATACAAAGCCAAGCAAACTGCACTGAAACACTCTGTGCCCCTTTTTTTTTGGACCCTCCCCCACAGTTTGAGAACCTCTTCTTTAAGAGAACTTCCTCTGGCACTTTACACAAAACTATGAAAAAAGTGAAGGAAGATTTTTAAACCAGTTTTTTAAAGTTCCAAACTAGAGTTGCATTCTTTTCTGGTTTTGCAGTGATATTTACCAGCCTCTGCACGTTTACCAAACCAAACGCACATCGTGACAAACACAGATTCATTTGTGCACTTTTGTTAGGCAAACTTCAGCCAAATGTGGCAGTAGGTCTGTTCTGTAGATCCGCTCTATGCTGTAGACCTGCTTTGTGCCAACACTGTAACACAAATTTAGACTGGTTTTTGCTTCACGTTTGGTCTTGCTCTTCTAATCAGCCGCACTGTGGGAGGGGCTTGTGTTCGCTGTACGCAGGAAGGAGCGAGAGCGTGAAAAGGTAAGGGGCGGCGTGCTGACGTGAGGCAGATGGACAGGTAGGATGTTTAAGAAGTTGAACCTGCCCTGTGATGCACGCTGGTACACGAGGGCACACGCTGTCGCAGACGAGCCGTGCGTAGGGAGCGTGTGTATTTGTGATGTGCCGTAGAGTCTCCGCGGGTTTCAAATGAGCGCACAGGCTGCACTGAGACGCCCCACACGCTCCTGCACCCCGCTACAAGTTTATTACCAACAGCAGCGGGCGTAATGAAATATGATCGCACTTGTTGACGCACTTGTTGAGTGTCAGACCTTGAGTGAGAGACAAGACCGAGTCCAAACGCGAGTCCGAGACGAGACACGGCGATCTACCCACACGACCTTGGCGATCGACTGGTAGATGGCGATCGACTAGTAGATCACGATCGACGTATTGAGCACCCCTGATTTAAACGATATCAATATATCGTTTATTACAACAATATCAGTAATCATTACATGTACCAAGCTTTATAACAAATAAAGTATATTACAAAGCCTCCTTTTTGATGATTTAACAAGGCTTAAAGTAGGGATGTCCCGCGGATCGAGGCATTTTTATGGACTTACATCGGATTCGGTGGACAGGGCAGCTGTGCTAACACTGGAGCTAACCCCCAGAGGAGCTCAAACCATGGCTTAAACACACACCGAACCGCTACAAACCTGATTGTTACATATGTTAAGTGGCTTAGGCAGGCTCCTTGTCTTTTTACATGAATAATATGGCGGTGCCATTCATTCTGCAAACGTGGTGTCCAAGGGTGCAGGAGCACTGAAGACACACTGCTGTCAAACACTGTAGTCTCTGATTGCGATTTAGGATTTTGCCACATGTACGAAATGGTCTAAATTCACTGCACAAAAACACGGAAAATAAGATATTCTTCCATAGGTTTGCTTATGATTGCTCATGTGACTGTGCTAGAAAGTTCAACATATAGCATTAACTCCTCTCACCCTACAAGTGCAGCCTCAAGCACCAAAGATACGACTATAACAGTACAAATAAACACGATTTGGTTCATAGATTGTAAAATAGTAGGGCTATATATGGTTCAAGTTCAAAATAGCATTGGTTAGCTGGTTAGCTAGCAAGCTAGCGGTGCGCACACCGCCGTGCGTAACATTTTCACACGTCAGTTTTAGTCACAGTTCCAGTTATAAAAACATGAGTTTGGATTAGAAGTGGTGAAAGAGTTGGTGCAGTACCGGGAAGGGTGTAGGGCTCTCCACACAGCAGGCATACCGCGGCTTGAGGCTGTTTAGCGGACTCCATCGCTCCTCTGCACGATCTGTCTGCACAACGTGCTGCAAGATCTGCAACAGCCTCCGCGCTTATGCGGTATATACGGTTTATACGAGTGTATATGTGGCTGTGAGTGTATATATGGGCTGTGAGTGTATATACGGCTGTGAGTGTATAGACTGTATATACAGGCTGTGAGTGTATATACGGGCTGTGAGTGTATATACAGCTGTGAGTGTATATACGGCTGTGAGTGTATACATGGGCTGTGAGTGTATACACGGCTGTGAGTGTATACACGGCTGTGAGTGTATATATGGGCTGTGAGTGTATACACATGCTGTGAGTGTATATACGGCTGTGAGTGTATATACGGCTGTGAGTGTATACACGGCTGTGAGTGTATATACGGCTGTGAGTGTATATACGGGCTGTGAGTGTATATACGGGCTGTGAGTATATATACGGCTGTGAGTGTATATACAACTGTGAGTGTATATACACGGGCTGTGAGTGTATATACGGCTGTGAGTGTATATACGGGCTGTGAGTGTATATACATATACGGCTGTGAGTGTATATACACGGGCTGTGAGTGTATACACGGGCTGTGAGTGTATATACGGCTGTGAGTGTATATACGGCTCTGAGTGTATATACGGCCATGAGTGTATATACGGCTGTGAGTGTATATATGGGCTGTGAGTGTATATACGGCTGTGAGTGTATACACTGTATATACAGGCTGTGAGTGTATATACGGGCTGTGAGTGTATATATGGGCTGTGAGTGTATACGCATGCTGTGAGTGTATATACGGCTGTGAGTGTATATACGGCTGTGAGTGTATACATGGGCTGTGAGTGTATACACGGCTGTGAGTGTATATACGGCTGTGAGTGTATATACGACTGTGAGTGTATACACGGGCTGTGAGTGTATACACGGCTGTGAGTGTATATACGGCTGTGAGTGTATATATGGGCTGTGAGTGTATATACGGGCTGTGAGTATATATACGGCTGTGAGTGTATATACGACTGTGAGTGTATGTATGGACTGTGAGTGTATATACGGCTGTGAGTGTATATATGGGCTGTGAGTGTATATACATATACGGCTGTGAGTGTATATACACGGGCTGTGAGTGTATACATGGGCTGTGAGTGTATATACGGCTGTGAGTGTATATACGGCTCTGAGTGTATATACGGCCGTGAGTGTATATACGGCTGTGAGTGTATATACGGCTGTGAGTGTATATATGGCTGTGAGTGTATAAATGGGCTGTGAGTGTATACACGGCTGTGAGTGTATATACGGGCTGTGAGTGTATACACGGCTGTGAGTGTTTATACGGGCTGTGAGTGTATATACTGCTGTGAATGTATATACGGCTGTGAGTGTATACATGTGCTGTGAGTATATACGGCTGTGAGTGTATATACTGGCTGTGAGTGTATATATGGGCTGTGAGTGTATACACATGCTGTGAGTGTATATACGGCTGTGAGTGTATACACGGCTGTGAGTGTATATACGGCTGTGAGTGTATATACGGGCTGTGAGTGTATATACGGGCTGTGAGTGTATATACGGCTGTGAGTGTATATACGACTGTGAGTGTATATATGGACTGTGAGTGTATATACGGCTGTGAGTGTATATATGGGCTGTGAGTGTATACACATGCTGTGAGTGTATATACGGCTGTAAGTGTATATACGGCTGTGAGTGTATACACGGGCTGTGAGTGTATACACGGCTGTGAGTGTATATACGGGCTGTGAGTGTATATACGGGCTGTGAGTATATATACGGGCTGTGAGTGTATACACGGGCTGTGAGTGTATATATGGGCTGTGAGTGTATACACGGGCTGTGAGTGTATATACGGCTGTGAGTGTATATACGGGCTGTGAGTGTATACACGGGCTGTGAGTGTATATACGGCTGTGAGTGTATATATGGACTGTGAGTGTATATACGGCTGTGAGTGTATATACGGCTGTGAGTGTATACACGGCTGTGAGTGTATACACGGCTGTGAGTGTATATACGGGCTGTGAGTGTATATACGGGCTATGAGTATATATACGGGCTGTGAGTGTATACACGGGCTGTGAGTGTATATATGGGCTCTGAGTGTATACACGGGCTGTGAGTGTATATACGGCTGTGAGTGTATATACGACTGTGAGTGTATATATGGACTGTGAGTGTATATACGGCTGTGAGTGTATATATGGGCTGTGAGTGTATACACATGCTGTGAGTGTATATACGGCTGTGAGTGTATACACGGGCTGTGAGTGTATACACGGCTGTGAGTGTATATACGGGCTGTGACTGTATACACGGGCTGTGAGTGTATATACGGCTGTGAGTGTATATACGGGCTGTGAGTGTATATACGGCTGTGAGTGTATATACGGCTGTGAGTGTATATACGGACTGTGAGGGTATATACGGCTGTGAGTGTATATATGGGCTGTGAGTGTATACACGGGCTGTGAGTGTATAAACGGGCTGTGAGTGTATATATGGCTGTGAGTGTATATACGGTCGTGAGTGTATATATGGGCAAAAGTACGGGCTAAAGTGTGTACGAGTTAAAGTATATTTATAGAGATGGATAGATAGACAGAGATATAATCATCCCGTTTCTATGGCCATTACAGGCCTAGATTTGTAAACCACTTTATCCAGAACAGGAGAAGTGTCCCAGGCAAACACAGAGTGTTTACGGCCGTGAGTGTATATACGGCTGTGAGTGTATATATGGGCTGTGAGTGTATATACGACTGTGAGTGTATATACGGCTGTGAGTGTATAAATGGGCTGTGAGTGTATACACGGCTGTGAGTGTATATACGGGCTGTGAGTGTATACACGGCTGTGAGTGTATATACGGGCTGTGAGTGTATATACTGCTGTGAATGTATATACGGCCGTGAGTGTATATACGGCTGTGAGTGTATATATGGGCTGTGAGTGTATATACGGCTGTGAGTGTATATACGGCTGTGAGTGTATAAATGGGCTGTGAGTGTATACACGGCTGTGAGTGTATATACGGGCTGTGAGTGTATACACGGCTGTGAGTGTATATACGGGCTGTGAGTGTATATACTGCTGTGAATGTATATACGGCTGTGAGTGTATATACGGCTGTGAGTGTATATACTGGCTGTGAGTGTATATACGGCTGTGAGTGTATATACGGCTGTGAGTGTATATACGGCTGTGAGTGTATATACGGCTGTGAGTGTATATAGGCTGTGAGTGTATATACGGCTGTGAGTGTATATACGGCTGTGAGTGTATACACGGGCTGTGAGTGTATACACGGCTGTGAGTGTATACACGGGCTGTGAGTGTATATACGGCTGTGAGTGTATATACGACTTTGAGTGTATATATGGACTTTGAGTGTATACACGGGCTGTGAGTGTATACACGGCTGTGAGTGTATATACGGTTGTGAGTATATATACGGGCTGTGAGTGTATACACGGGCTGTGAGTGTATATATGGGCTGTGAGTGTATACACGGGCTGTGAGTGTATATACGGCTGTGAGTGTATATACGACTGTGAGTGTATATATGGACTGTGAGTGTATATACGGCTGTGAGTGTATATATGGGCTGTGAGTGTATACACATGCTGTGAGTGTATATACGGCTGTGAGTGTATATACGGCTGTGAGTGTATACACGGGCTGTGAGTGTATACACGGCTGTGAGTGTATATACGGGCTGTGACTGTATACACGGGCTGTGAGTGTATATACGGCTGTGAGTGTATATACGGGCTGTGAGTGTATATACGGCTGTGAGTGTATATACGGCTGTGAGTGTATATACGGACTGTGAGGGTATATACGGCTGTGAGTGTATATATGGGCTGTGAGTGTATACACGGGCTGTGAGTGTATAAACGGGCTGTGAGTGTATATATGGCTGTGAGTGTATATACGGTCGTGAGTGTATATATGGGCAAAAGTACGGGCTAAAGTGTGTACGAGTTAAAGTATATTTATAGAGGTGGATAGATAGACAGAGATATAATCATCCCGTTTCTATGGCCATTACAGGCCTAGATTTGTAAACCACTTTATCCAGAACAGGAGAAGTGTCCCAGGCAAACACAGAGTGTTTACGGCCGTGAGTGTATATACGGCTGTGAGTGTATATATGGCTGTGAGTGTATATGGCTGTGAGTGTATATACGGCTGTGAGTGTATAAATGGGCTGTGAGTGTATACACGGCTGTGAGTGTATATACGGGCTGTGAGTGTATACACGGCTGTGAGTGTATATACGGGCTGTGAGTGTATATACTGCTGTGAATGTATATACGGCCGTGAGTGTATATACGGCTGTGAGTGTATATATGGGCTGTGAGTGTATATACGGCTGTGAGTGTATATACGGCTGTGAGTGTATAAATGGGCTGTGAGTGTATACACGGCTGTGAGTGTATATACGGGCTGTGAGTGTATACACGGCTGTGAGTGTATATACGGGCTGTGAGTGTATATACTGCTGTGAATGTATATACGGCTGTGAGTGTATATACGGCTGTGAGTGTATATACTGGCTGTGAGTGTATATACGGCTGTGAGTGTATATACGGCTGTGAGTGTATATACGGCTGTGAGTGTATATACGGGCTGTGAGTGTATATACGGCTGTGAGTGTATATATGGACTGTGAGTGTATATACGGCTGTGAGTGTATATACGGCTGTGAGTGTATACACGGGCTGTGAGTGTATACACGGCTGTGAGTGTATATACGGGCTGTGAGTGTATATACGGGCTGTGTGTGTATACACGGGCTGTGAGTGTATATATGGGCTGTGAGTGTATACACGGGCTGTGAGTGTATATACGGCTGTGAGTGTATATACGACTTTGAGTGTATATATGGACTTTGAGTGTATACACGGGCTGTGAGTGTATACACGGCTGTGAGTGTATATACGGTTGTGAGTATATATACGGGCTGTGAGTGTATACACGGGCTGTGAGTGTATATATGGGCTGT